TGAGCCCATCTCTGGTGAACACAAGATTTAAAGTGGTGCTTTTGCATGATTCATTGTGGAGGAACTCAGTTTTACACATCTGTTGATTAAGTCGAATAATCGATTAGTCTGCAAAATCGTTTGAGTGTTAGTTGACCAAGAATTTATTTAGTTGAAGGCATATTCCTTTTAATCTTATTTTTGTTTTGTGCTTAAGCTGTATTATTTTCAAACTCACCTTTTAGGATGGCCTAGTTCTAATGATTGAAATTATTCAGGAGTTTATCCTTCTGGAAAAAATCTCTGATGGTCAATGTCATAGTATTTAAAACCAGAAATAACTATGACTCGTACCTAGAAAAGTGTTTTAGTATTAGTCACTGAAGGTAAACAGTTCCATTTTGATTTGTTCGAATGCAATATGTGTTTCCAGCAAAGTTAATAGACGATTACAAAGAGGGCAAAGAAAAGGCTACAAAATACCCGAAAAAGATATGATAAATATATAGATTTGTTTCAACTTCAGTTGAAATAAGTCAGTCATGGTGATATTGTATACACTAACACGTAGAGGTCATAGAGTTCACTCACAGTGTGATAATGACAGTGATGGTTTTTACCCTTCCACACCCCCTGTCAGTGTTTCCCTTAGTGTGCAGCGAGGTTGTAATGAAAACTGATGTAAAGCAACTAAGAAGGCCCCTGATGTTGTAATTAAAATGGAAAATGCCACACGGATGTAATCCCATCACACACACCGCCTCCTGCAGTCCCATGCGCAGGAATGCGACGCCTGGGTTTTGTAATGACAACCATGTCCTTTTCTAATGACGCTGGAATGAGAGTCTGGCTCCGAACAGGCATGGCAGCAGACAGTCCCTCTTTCTTTTCCTCATCCATCCATCCTGTCATCTGCTTGTCTTCCTCTCCACAGAGTCTGACTTCCCACATGATGCCTTCTGCATGAGCGAGTGCAGGAAGGAGAAGGACGAGAGAGAGTATTACTGCTACAGTGAGTTTGGTATGTACCCAGCGAGACACAAAGATAGAGTTTGTCAAAGGTTTAAAAAAAACATAGGAATAGCCTAAGAAGTATTGATCAAAATAAAGTTCAATGTTTTGGAATTTATTGGTACGTACGTATACAATTTGGTCAAATAATATGTTTCAAGTCATTGCACAACAGTCCCAAGTCTTGAACTTTAAGTGTCAAGTTCTCAACAAGTCATAACTCGCTCTTCATCCATTCAACAATTTTTTTGTCTTTGGAAATGGTGGAGAGTATAAAGTATTTAAGTGAAAAGGCTCAGGTCTAAGTGAAGGCACGATTCACAAGTGTTCATCAAATTCATCAAATGTGTGACTCGGGTCTGACTTGAGTCCAAGTCTTGTGACTTCCACACCTCTGCTTTCTACTGCTTACACATGTAAGTTTGATACTGTATATAGCTGTAGCAGCTACACTTTTTGAGACTATAAGAAACTGTTTAAAGGAACAGTTTGACATTTTGGGCTAGGGATTGTGAAGGTTCACCCTAAATCATGTACAATAAACAAAAATCAACTAACACGTTAAATCTTGGTGTTTTTTTCATGTCCCTTGAATAGCTGTGAATGGGATAGTTCACGACATCGATGTGTTGCGTAAAGGAGTACGCCTCGTAACACTGATGGTGGGCAGTGATGGCTTCTACAAAATGAATCGTCTCTATGTGACGCCAGACAGCTTCTTCTTCAAAGTCCGCCTTCTGGTCCTGGACACTTACAAGTGCAGCAAGCCCTGCCCTGACATCAAACTAGGTGAGTGTAGCAGGAAAACTCTAAATCCTCATGAAACAAAAGGATCGGATGAGATATATACAAGCTGTAGAAGTATACCTATTAAACAAAGTGGCTGTTATTCCTTTCAGTGGTTTATCAAAGAATATAAAATGTCCTTTGAATGAAACTCTGAAAATTATGGGACATATGTATAAGCGTCAAGACAAATACATTCAATAACAAGGTCCATACAAATATTCTCATGTGGGATGCGAACATTCTGTTTCCCTGAGATCAGACAAAGACATCCAGTTTTTTAGTGCACCCTTGAAAATTGATCTCTGCTCAACTGTATTCTTTCTCCGTGTCATTTCAACATTGTCCCTCTGATTGTTCCCCAGGGACTAGGTACATCATAATGGGCCAGATCTACCACCGGAGGCGCCATCTTCCCAGTGACCTCCTGAACTTACTGGGCAGTAAACTGAAGCCTGGAGACGGCCTCCTGCGAAGCAACAACTACATCAAGAGATTCAACAAACGGAGGCACCAGAAAGCTCTGGAGGCCACCCGCTCCAAGTGTAGGTGAACCAGCGATGGGACTGTGGCCCCCTGCTGCAGGGGAAGAGACAATGCAGCTGACCTGAACTTATATAACCCACCCCTCAGTATTGTGCAAGACAGAAGAAGACATTTTGCGGAAGGCATGGATTTATCTTCAAAGGGAATTGTTCATATATTTGTTTCTGTTACTTTCCTGAAGTACTGATAGAAACAACTCCACTCAAACTCCTCATTCATTCATGGCTGGTTCATGAAGTCCCTGAATTTCAAAAACGATGAAATTAGTCGGCTTTCAAAGAAAAATTCGGCTCATTGAAAATCAGTTTATAGAGAAAATCCTTGGTGTTTTTGATTAACACGTGTTTAACAAGTCAACACGTGTTTAACAAGTCAATGTGTTTAACAAGTCAACACGTGTTTAACAAGTCAATATGTGTTCTGGGAGATACACAGATCTAGCCTCTTTATTCTCTTCATAGCATATACAAAAATGCATTTGTCCAAATCCATATCTAACAATTGAAAACCCAGAGAGCTGTTACATGATCCTGAACAGAAAGGTATTTTACATAACAAACAGACTTGCTTTCCAAAAATAATGGCAGTAGCTGAGAACATACTAATTAAAATGTTGTACTTGTAAATCACATTGTACAAATACAACATTTTAATCATGTTGATCCCTTTGAGAAATCAATGAGACTTCTACACTTCTTATCATTGGACATTTCGTATTGCACCGAATAGTATTTTTTTCTATCACTCAATCCCTTGCATGTTGTCACTGTGGTTGTTATTGTTAAGCAGGAAATGCACTATTATTGTTATACGGACCAAAGCGAGGGGATGAAGGGCCTAAGAAAAGCAGCAACAACCCCCAGAGGAGGAGGAGGAGGAGGAGGGAGGCGAAAGGGAGAGAACACAGGACCTTTGCTTGTCATGAGAGCAGCTTATTTTTCTTACTTTAATTATGTGTCCACGATGAAATATCTGCCTGAGTAGCCTGGGACATCAAAAGGGGCCTTGCTGAATGAGGAGGGGTGTGTGGTTGTAGGGACTAAACCATAAATCTAATCACAGGAATCTGATCCTCTCCGCACCTGGACACATGACTTGGAAAAGTGCCTCCTTCACAGCTCCTCTTTGGGATGGCTTTTGTTTTCTTGCTTACACACAAACATGACCTCCTCTGGCAGGGCCAAAGCTCAAAAAGGGGGTATTTAAAGTATTTGGGAAGAATCAGAGAAATAGAGAGACGAGGGGGGGGGGGAGGTGGAGGAGAAAAAGATGGTAGTCTAAAATGACAAAGTGAAAGGATGTTGACTTTCTGAAGCTTCTCATTTAATCAGAAAACCCTGGCTTGATTGTAGTACGTCATGAAAGGGAAAACTTGCACTGAACGCTTATATGGCTTTATTATACATCAACCCAATAAAAATGTGTATTTGTTTTGTATTCAACGACCCTGTGAGGATTTTATTTGTCTTTAAATCAACCCACTCTTATCACATACATCTGCCCACTGACCTACACATTGATCCTCATTCCCAGTGATTGCATGGGAAGTAGCCCCTCAAAAGTAAGACACTCTAATTGGAGTTTAACAACCATGGTCTCTGTCTGGCCTCCGGGAAGAGAGACGTACTTGGGAACTTGGACATGGAGGCAGGCAGGGCTAAGCCTCTTTTCTCCCCCTCTGTACGTCTGTCAGCTCGGCCTGGCGTTCCCAGGCTCGAGGAAGCCTCTATCTGGGATCAGCGCTGGAGGGAACAGATGCAGGCGGGCAGGAAACAGGAGCCTGCTCCACATCTTGGCTACTATCGCAGCGGGAGGACATTCCTCATCGCAGAGGATGTAAAGGAGGAGGAGGGAGAGAAGAGAGAGGGAGGTGGGAATATCTCTAAGTGGCTTCCTGTTTGATAGCCCCCAAGCCACAAGGGGGAGTGATGGAAAGAGGCGAGGCTGGTGGATTGAAAACCGGGGCTTGTGGCCATCTGCGGTGCTCGCAGCGTCCATGAGACTCTGGATCCATTTAGCGGTTTGAGTGGGGAGTAAAGAGGAGGAGGAGGGGGGGGGGGGGGGTTGGAGAAGAGTGAAAGGTCAACCTGGGAGGGGGCTTTTAAGTGTCATGACGGTAATTTGATCACAGGATGAGTTTGTATGAGTGCGTTGGAGGTCATGACCTTATCTTTGTACAAACACTTTTCTGTCAAAGCTCTAGATAACAGTTAAAAAGGGATGGAATTACTGTGTATGGATCAACTCACTAAGGGCCCCCCGGGGGGAAGTGTCCTAACTGAACCCTGTTTCTCCCATTTTATGTGCATTTTTAATGTAACAGTCATTTGTTTGTCTTTACGTGATTAAGTATGTATATTTAACAAAGCCTTGAAACTATATTTGAACTCAGGAGTTTGCCTTTTATATGCTTCCCTCCAGGGCAAATTAAAAGTAATATTTTGGGGGTAGTTTGTTTATAATAAGACAGTTATAGAGTTGAGAAGAAACAATAGTGACAGAAACAAAAATGGACGGCTTGACTAGAATTATGCAATTTCCTATTTATGTTTTGATGTCTGTTATGTCCATAGTCATAAAGCAAGAAATAACAGCTTATAGTAATACAGAAACACACTTGAATAGGCCGGTATGACAAGTTAAGACTGCTAAGAGACATTGAAAGAAAAACACAAATCTTTTGAAAGCCGGTGTCAAAAACATTACTTTATTATCTAGGATGAAATGTCCTATCGAGTACAAAAGAGAATCTCTTCAGAGTTGCCACAATCAGTTAAAAACAGAGTACTATTTATCTGCTGTTACATTTCCTCAACATTACTAAAAAAAAACGGAGAACTTTTCATTGATATGAATAAATAATACAAGAAATGCAATGTCAATATAGAAGTTATGTTGAACTGGTTGTTTTCTTACAAAAAGAAGAAAAACTCTGTACAAGAGTTAACTTTGTCACTTTGCCCCGTTCAAAACCTTTATGCTCACAATATGCAGCAATTGTAATATAAGGGGGAATCTCACCTAAAATGTAGAATTCACTTCAATTAGAGAGAAAAAATAGACAGGAAAAATATACAGTCGGGCTTATGCTGGTTCAAAGAGTGAAAAATAAAAGTTTCTACTGCTCGAAAAGTCTGTCATCTCTACATATTTGAACAACCATAATATACAATAGAGATCACAAACAGTGGATGAAACACATCTTCATAAGATTACAAAGAGACGGACATTTGTGTAAAAAGACACAAACAGTAAAGGAGACAGAAGCAACATTCTCTCAACTCTGCAAAAAACTGATTGAATCTGAAATGTACTTCATTTTATACTGTTTTCAACAACTTAAATACAAGTGTGTCTTGTGACTGCTCCCCTCCTACAAAACTGATAATCACAGATTACAAAAATGTTCCCAAATATATGATAAAAATGCAGCTATAAAATGTTCATACAAACCCCACGGTACAAAGACTCCCCAGTCCCCACTCAAAGTTTACTCCCAGACATGCTGCCGCAGACCGCAACATAACTGAGTTGATGCTGAGTGGAAAAGTCCATTATCCAATTACTTAACCATGCTTTGAGGGCGAGTTGAGAGACATGTGAGCCAACCTGTCAACTTCAATGAAATATGTTGGAAGAAGTGGCCGATAGATAAGGAGAGACTAACAGACTGCCATTGACAAACAGAGCTTTTGGAGGCCGGGACATGTGGGTTAGTTAAGTCTTGTTCATGTTTGACCCTCCCTGAAGCCCCAACATTCTCCTCTCTTCATGTCATTGACTTCCTTCATAAAGGGTCACGTTTAATGGAGCACAGAGCTAGTTAACATTCTTCACTTGCTTTAAAGAAGAACACAAAATGGTAAAAGGTCGCAGGATGTGGTGGAATGAGATGGCCTGTTCTGGTTGTTACCCTCTGAATATTAACATGGCAGCCCTCAGACGAAGCGAAGACCCCTTAATTAACTCCAGGAAGTGCCGTCTACTGCCGCCTGTATGTGGTGATGCGAATCCAACAGAAAATGTCACGTTGACCATCTTTTTTTACATATCTAACTTCGGTTACAAATGGGGTTTCATGCAGAGCTTCACAACGGAGGATAGCCAATATAACTGGGTGTAGGTGGAAGGAAACGGTGCACCTGAGATTTGCTGCACAACGAGCATTTGAAAACTAAGACTGCATTAGAGGGCCGTTGCAGTCAAACGGAAAATGTATTACGGAGCTCGGGGAGGAGAGTAAAGTCTCAAATTAACGAGACGTCACATTTTGTTCTCCAAGTTACTACATTGCGTCACTGTGCAAGGTTGGATAAACCTTATTACACCTCGGATGCTTCAGTAAGCCGGAAATGCCTCATACACACGTTGGTGAGGAGGTGCACCAGCATTGAACATCCAACCCTACAAGGGCTCTAAAACGCCATTATGAAAACTGATTTGGTTCTTTTTTTCTCCAGTGGGGTATCAAGTGTGACAATCAATAAAATGCTGCTTTCGACCATAAAGAGGTGTTAATTCTGAGAAGAATGAACTCCGAGGTACTGTACATGAGTGTGAAGCATAAACTGGGGGTTTTCATTTTGACCTCATGAACATTTCCACTTGAGGCAGGGACTAGGCTTCAATGGGATTTCACACAATGAAACACATCATTGAAAGTGTGACAGAATAAAATAAAAGTAGCATCTCTAGGAGGAAAGATCCACACTGACACTTTGCTTTATAGGATACGTACAAATAGTGATCAGCTACAGAAGTAGAGTCTGCTGCTGCCGGATGTGCCCCTGAACATCCCACCAGCCCACACGTCAGCAGTATCTGTGTTCCCCATCTGGAGTTTGGGATGCTCTGGTAGGAGTGGCTGGTTGGGCTGAAGCGGGCGGACACCGTCCCCCCCCCGTCTGAAGGTGGTTCTTCTCTGCCATTTTGTCCCAATGGATGAAAAGGGGCTTCTCTCTCCTCTTAGTGGAGGTGTTGGAGGTTGGGCGCTATGACACCAGTGCGAGCAGATTTTCCACAGGGAGCGTGCTCTCCTCCAGAGAGGGCTCCGGTTCAGATGCAGCCCGACTTCGACCAACGGGCTTAATCATTACGAGGAAACCACAAGGCTTGTCTTTTTTGACACTTGAATTTTAGGAGAGAGCTAAGAAGCTGCTGATTGTAGTTTGTTGTTATGAGACCTACAGAGACAGGCAAAGAGAGGAGGAAGAACACTGTTGGAAAACTTATTGGTGTTTCCTTTTTTTTTATTATTAAAAGCTTTACAATATGACAAAAATATGCACTAGGGGAAATACAAAAAAACTAAAACAAACAAAACATGAATTGGATGCCAGTGGGTCAAACACTTTGACATGGACCAAGCAGCCATGTTGGTGAAATGTTATCGAAGTGTTTGTGATGTCGGCCCAACAGTGTGTGAACAAGGACTTTTTTTTTTAACTGGAGACCGTCAAGCTTGCCATATTTTGAACAGGGAAGCTAAACCTCATTTTTCTCGAATCTATCTTTACAGATCCTATCATTATTTCCTTTAGAACATAAGAATAGTCCTTCACAAAAAGATATAATATGCACATAAAATAACATTATACACAGCCATAAAAGAACCTAAGAAAGAAACTGTTGCATGTTTTTTAAAATTCTCGGCTAAGAAATGAGGTAAAAGTGTTCTGCTGCAGCGTGTTATGACCAATACTATAAACAGTCCTGTCAAATTAAAAGATAAGTTATCTGTGTGTGGAACTGGTGTCACAATCAAAATCAATAGCTTTGTGTTTTTTTCAAAACTGAATCTCAAGAAAGACGATGACAAACTTCATATTTTGTCTTATATCCCACTCAAACATAAACAAAATACCGCTCATCTGTTGCAAGAATTGTAAAAAAATAAATGTTCCCTTGAATGCTTTATGTTACCAACATGGCTGCCATTATTAGACAGTAGACACTTTTTTTTCTTTCTTCTAAAAATAGGATCACATCTACAGTCGATATATCCGTTTCTTACAAAGATTTGAACGCTGTTTTAAACAAATAAAAACAGCAATGTCCGGGATAACAAATTATTGTTTTGTTTGTTTTAAGAGTGACCCCGGCACCCAGGAGTGACATCACAATCTGCAAAAGAGAGAGAGAGAGAGAGAGAGAGAGAGGGAATGGATGGTGTAAATACAGGCGGGTGAAGCACAGCACATCACCAGATAAGGCACACAGATGGATGCAAACCACAACAATGGACCTTATCAGAGTGTTAACTATTTTAAAGAACAGCAAGGCATATTAATGAAACGTTTTGTATGTAAATATAAATAAACCTGATGCTAAAAACTTGCAGTGTGCATCCACCTACAGCAATCACATCACACAGCGAGGGCAGTGGAGAAAGTTCACATTTGATGATGAAAGCTGAAGCAGATATGTTATTATGGGTGGAAAATCAGCTGACTGGAGGCCGAATGAAAACACAGCGAACATGATACTGAAGAGGATCAAGGGTGTGAATGAAAGCTTATACTGTAAGATAATAAGGTAGGGAGGGTAGGGAAAGGCATGCATCACGTGCAGAGCGCTAAACTAGTCAGGCAGGCTTTTAAAATAGAAGTATATCGTATATCTTTCATTCTTGAAATGTTACTGTGTTTCTGAATCAGTGTCAGTGTTTAATGCCAAGTGGTGCCAACAGAGCATGCTGCATTCAGTCATGAACCAAAACGGAGATGTTTAGAGGAAGCACAAGATGGTGTCCGAGGAAATCAAAGAGAAGAAGGAATCAATAAACTAGCATCTGACACTTTTATTGCTCTCTTTGGAGAAAGTGTGTATCCACCCAACCTCCATGAAGGTCAGAGGTCAGAGTTAGCTCTGCAGCAGCACAGCTGGTGCTGCTAATGAGGCTCCACTTTATTCTCTGACCCGTGGGCTTACACTGCCTCCCTTTATATTAAAGTCAACCGCTGCCATTTTTGAGTGTCTTTATCACCGCTCATCATCATTACTATCCCCGTCTTACCTGCTGGCTTTGAACCCTTTGAGCTTCTGGACGAAGAAGGTCTCCAGAACCTCTGCACACTGGTAGAAGGGCGAGTCGCTGGGGTTGTAGTAGCGGCAGTTGTCGAAGATTTTGGTCATGTCCGCTACAAAACTCCGTCAGCTTCACGTACTTTCGCTTCTGTATCTTCTCCTCCATGGTTGAAAGGTCTAAGAAAATGGAATTTGAAAAATGTTTTTGGTTGAAGATTGTATGTCTAGTATGTGAAAAAATCTATTAAAAAAACCCTACTCATTCTAATTGCAAACTCTTGCCAGGAACAAACACCACAATACGCGCAAGCAAAAGATTATTATCTGACTTTTGTAATAGACTTGTTCAACAAATCAGCATGCCTGCTTAAAAGAAAATTCAAATGTGTTTCCTGGGAGCAGTTTATCATTTTATATGACCGCAAAAATCCCAGATATCTGCCGGTTTTAACCTCCATCTATTCAGCCGCCCTGATCAGCTACTGAGATCCGACCGATCCGTCATTACTGAGCAGATCGTCATTATCCGAGTGTCAACTTAGCGCATCCAAGTCGGGGTCTTGCTGAAAAGGAGACTTCAGTGTCATGAACCAGGTTAAATCAAACTGTAAATAAACAAATAAGATAGAGAGGAAGCAAACAGCCCGGGCTTCATATAATCCGCTGTTCCTGCCCGTGGTTTGCTCTGCACGGTGTCCTTGGGGCTGCCTTTTAAACAAACATATCCCACTCTTAACCTCCTTAACCCCCACCCAGCTGGCCAACCCTCATGGTCAATATCAAAGACCCCCTTCTTCTCTGTCATCAGATTTGATCTCAAACTCTCCAAAAACGACCAACGGTTGCAGCTACACCAGCCAAATGCTGCTTTTTTCTTTTTTTTAAACCAACAAGGTCTTTTTCTTGCGGTGGAACGGAGAGGGGGGGGACTGAAGTTTCCAGGCCGGGCCAACAGGAGCTAAGTGTGGGGCTGCTCCCTTTCCACGGGGAGCCGGCAGACCCGAGCAGCTCATTAACGGTTTGTTTATGTGGAAGTTCAAAAAGGCCCTGCTGACGCAAGTCACCATTTACATGGCCAGTTTGATCTGAGTTGGAGGGCTTCCTCCTGGAGGCGGGGCTTCAGCGTTAGAGATACACAGGCTGGAGGTCGGTTCCAGTAACCTAAAGCAATTAGGTAACGAACAAAGCCATACTGAGGCTATTTCATCTTCCAAATAGGGATTTCCCACAATCCCGGTTTTGGTAATCTGCTGAGTCATGAGTCATTATCTTTATATTTTCCTACATTACAGAGCCACAAAGTGCAACATTAGAAAATATCAACCTTAAAATGGTTAGAGAACGAATCTACAAAAGACACTTGACTTTGTAGAGCTCTGAATGCAGAGAATATAGAGCAGAGTAGACCACGTCTTCCTTTTAATACTTCGATTATATTGTGTCTGAAATAGAGCCAGCGGTTAAAGCAGCACTGCTCCCTAACCCATGTGCCACTCAACAGTTTGATGGCTTACAACTATGTCTTTAGTTTCCCCATAAATACCAACAAGCTAGTTTTTAGCAAAAGCTAAACAACGACATTAACCTATAGCCACAGCACAGGCGAAAATAAGCATGACATAAATCAGCCTCAAAATAACAATGACATCCCTGGCAAACAAACATGCTGAAATATGCAACAGTTGTATGGCACTTCAGTTTAGCATAGAGTTTTTAGTTTCCCCTCAGTGGGTCAGTGATATTCCTTTGATGCTATAGGAGGAACAGTGTGAGGAACATTTCGTATGCTCATTATGTAAACAAATACATGCGTTCGATGGCATCAAGACTACAATAAGGTGTCCAGAGTAGCTGTTGACCTAAAATGCTCTTGACTGGGAACTTCAAGTAATTCAGTAATCAAGCTGCCGTATTCACTTTGGTGTTTGTGTGCTTTTACACATTCCCTCCACTCACCCATTGGTTCCTTGATAACCCTGTAGTAGTCCGGGGCGTCGTTTGGGTCCACTGGCTCCAGGAACGGCCATGCCATTTTGTGAGCCTGCGGAGAAGGGAGGGGTTGTGAGACAGAGATAAAGAGAAAGACAAGACACTTGAGAAAGCTGAAACCAATGAAGAAAAAACAAACAGCACCATGAACATGACATTGGAAGCAGGTGGGTCAACACAGATGTGTACGTGTGTACACACACACACACACACACACACACACACACACACACACACACACACACACACACACACACACCACACACACACACACACACACACACACACACACACACACACACACACACACACACACACACACACACACACACACACACACTGCAGAGAGGAGACGAGGAATGAGAAGGAAGAGAAAAGAAAGGGAAGCTGAGGTCAGGCAGCTGTCCAAGTAGTGCTCCCGGGAGCCGAACCCATCAGATAAGACGCACACAGAGGACTTTTGTTTGCTGCTCTTACACTGTAGTGGGGCGATGAGGAGCTGTGTTAGTGTTCCAAGTATTTATTGTAATATAACTACCATGCTGCATCTACAGCTACCTGTACAGCGATATAGTAGAGAGTAAACCTCCTCTAAATTCAGTTTACCTACTATTTCTGTATGCAGAAGAGAGTTACTGTATCTTTAGGGTCAGAGGTGAAGAAGAAGAAGAAGGACCTTTATTAATCCCCCGAGGGGGAAATTCAGTTTCCACTCTGTCATACACGCACATGTGTTTGTATACAGGTACACACAGTACACACTTTTCACATCATGCACATACATATACAAATACACAGTTATATGCACACATGCACATGAGAGGTCAGAGCGGAGGCAGCCAGTCTAGCAGGTGGGAGAAGTACTCAGATCTTGTACTTAAATACAAGTAAAAGTACCAGAGTGTAGGAATACTCTGTTACAAGTAAAAGCCCTGCTTTCAAAATGTTACTCAAGTAAAAGTAGAAAAGTAAAATATAAAAATTAAAGTATTCATTGTGCAGATTGGCCCATTTCAGAATAATATATATGATATGTTTTTATTATTGATCATGAAAGTGTTCTCGAAGCTGGTGAAGGTACAGCTAGTTTGAATGACTTTGTATACTGCAGGGTAGCTTATTAAGTTACTCCAGGTGGAACTAAAGTCTGATTCAACACTCGATATATTTCACATTATTAAGGCATTAAATAAATGTAGTGGAGTAAAAGTACACCATTTACCACTGAATTGTAGTAGAGTAGAAGTACAAAGTAGCATAAAGTAAAAGACAAGTATCTCAAAATTGTACTTAAGTAAAGTACCTGAGTAAATGTACTAAGTTACTTCCCACCTCTGAACTGGATTAACTTTGACCAGTGTTTAATAAATAAAATAGCAGAATACTCGTTTGTTTTCTTAATGTTGAGTATTAAACCAGAGATGCCTGAGAAGGGAATGTAGCTTGATTGTCGTACCTACATTTCTTTCACCGCTCCATCCCTGTGTACAGTACATTGAAAGCACGTGTTTGTGCAGCTGCAATAAATCTGTTCACCTGTAATGAACGCAGAATTCTCCGCAGGCCCTCAAAGTCCTTGTCGGTTAGCGGCGTGAAGACCGTCATGGCGTCCTCTGTGGACTGACAATTCGGACACACGTACTGGTCGATGTGGTTGGCCTCGCTCTGCAGGATGCCCACGCAGCGACCGTGGTACCAGTTCTGACACCGGTCACACCCGATATAGAACCTGGGAAGGCACGCAGTACTTTTACTTGTGATGTTTGCATTGTATTTGTAGTGTGATTTATAGAAATATACATTAGTATAGTAAAGATGATGGTGAGATGTCAAATTGACAAAACAGAGACTTGGAATGTGATTTTCCCCGAAGCAACAACATGGATCAAGTAAAGCAAAATCACATAACTGCTTTTCACAATTCTTTGTGTTGATTTCTGATCAGATTAACTTGTGACACATTTTAAGCGCTTAGTTACAGCTGGAAAACTCTTAGTAGGTTATACACTTCCGAATATTGCTTCAAAACCACTTATTCCCGATTTTATGTAATTTATATTTAATATACTACAGTTTCTGTCAAATGTGGGATAATCTAGAAGAGCTGAAGTTATCTCTTTCAAACGCAGGATATTTCTTTCTACTTATGCAGCACATAATCATCTACAAAACTTTCAATTTTTAACCACAGCTTGAAGTTAAAAATGTTGTGATTTATTTATTGTATATGATTTAAAAATAAATAATTATTCATAATAATGAGGACATTCTTTTTAAGTTTTTTTCTAAGCCTTACTTTTGATATTTAAAAAGATAATCAATTGAAGTGCTCACAGTATTAACCACTATGACATTTGCTTTACTTGTCCTTTAAAAATATATATATTATATTTGTATGCCTCAACCCAATTTGGCATTTTAAGCACATTTGACCACATGTCCCAACAGAAGCAGAGTGAGCTACGTAAACAAACACAGAAGCACAAACACACAGTCCTGCATGTACTCACTGGGACTCGTCGTAGGGCGTCTGACAGATGCAGTACAGCTCCTCCGTGCTGGTCTGCTGTCCCTGTTTACACTCCACACAGATGTAGTCATCCATCTTCTTGGCCTCCTTCTCCGTGATGCCCACACACTCTCCATGATACCAGTTAGTGCACAGGTCGCAACCAATGTAAAACCTTTAGAGAGAAAAGGATACAAAGATGTCAGAAATATCTCTCAGTACTACAAACTATTGAGTGTGTCAATAAATAGACCAAAAAAGTCGGTTGAAAATTAGGTTCCACATCTAAAGGATGGATTAGGCAAAATAGACAAGTAAAATAGTGATGCCTTTTTTTGTGTCATGTGTGTGAAGTTAGAAAAAATAAAATGCTTATAGCAAAATGCAAACGTTTTTTTTTAATGGCAAGGGGGGGGGGGGGGGGGGTTTCGGCTTCAGTATTTGTTAGGAAATCGGCTACCTAAGTGTCGTTTAATCATGAACGGTGAATGAAATTCAATCCCTCTTCTTAATGTTGATTCTACAGCCAGTGCTTGCTCACAGGCTGAATGAATGCTCTCCACTTGTTGCTGCAGTCAGCAAAGTTCAATCAATCTCCCCTTATAGTTTCTGCACCATTAGAGGGTAACACCGCAGGGGCTGTGGCTTTTGGTGAGACAGGAATCACAACTGGCACTTTATTTCTACAGTTGAAATGAAAGTTGAGTATTTTAATTCCTACAAAGCTCGGTGGATTGGTTCAACTGCTCAAATGGGCCATAACATTGTTATTTTTTGGGGAATTCAAACAGTTGTTGAACTGTGCCTACTACTCTTTGGCTACCTCTGGGTAATATAGTATTTAAACTCTGCATAGCATCTTCATACTTGGACTCGTCGTATGGCGTTTTGCAGACGCAGTAGAGCTTGATTTCCTTTTTGCTGTCCTTGGTGCTCGTTGTCAAGATCATCTTCTTCTTCTTGGACTTTGCCGACATCACATTCTCCCTCTCGTCCTCCCGTTTTCTTTTGTGTGTGGAGGAGGCGTTGGTGGTGAGGTGGTGTTGAGATGTGATGCCATGCGTGTGTTGATGCTTGTTGCGTGCAGCTGCGGCCTGGGCAGCTTGCTGAGCTGCAGCCTGAGCCCTCTCCTTCTCCCTGCGGATCCGCAATAGATCCCTCTTAAGCTCCTCCTGTGGAGCGCGATGGCAGGGGAGATAGGGTTAAAACTGGGTGGAGAATACATTTATAGGCTCTAATATATGGCTAAAGAGGCTGTAAAAAGACAAGAGCAACAAAATAACACCATTCTACATAACCACACACTTGCATAATCGGTCAATGATTTCTAATTTCAATAATATCTTTAATTTTGTATTACTGCACATATTTTATTCCAATTACATTTCTACAATTTCAACCTTATTCATAGTAAATACTGCTATCATTTACTATATTTTTTAATGTTATTAGAGTTTTGTTAAAATAGTTTTCTATCTGTGTTTTTAATTTTACTTTTATGTATGCACCACAACACCAAGTCAGATTCCTCGTACGCGTCAACCTACCTGGTAATAAACCTGTTTCTGATTCTCAAAGTTTGGCCGTGTGACACAAGCAAATAATGCCTTAAAACTGCTAAGGGATCAAAGAGTGCTTTGAGAAATAAACGTGTTTCCAGTTGCATTTGTCACACCTATATGATGAGGTGTTGAAACTGCATTGTGAATGTGTAAACCTCTATGGATTATTCAAACCGATTAGCTACTTTTATTATACCTCCTGAAAATGTATACAGCGTCTGATATTTGAATGGACACAGATTTCTTCCCGCCTTATTTGTCCCTCCATACCTGTGTCTCGAGCTGCAGCTCTTTGTCCAGAAGTGCCCGCTTTTTCAGGATCTCCATCTTGAGGCTCTCTTTGTGGCGGTAGAGGAGCGAGGAGAGCTTGCCGGCGTTGGCCAACCTCCTCTTCGCCTCCACCACCTCCTCCTTCTTCTTCCTCTTGGCCTCCTGCCTCTCATCCTTGTCTATCCGGTCCAGAATGAACTTCATCACCTGATTGCACACGATCATTCTGGAAAGCCACAAACAGGAAACATGTCAGACTTTTCTTCCTGACCTTTAAAAAGTTAGACGTTAATAAAGTCAAAATAGTGGAGTACTGCATATTGAGGATAAACAGCTCTACAAGTAGACTTACTAAATCTAATTAGGACCCGTGTGAAATAGGGGCAATTCAAGTTGTTCAAATAAAATACACATAATGCTGGAACTGAGAGAGGAGGATAAAAGAGCAGGGAGGAAGAGGATTATCACAACTCTGAATGGTCAAAGTCAGAGAGGAAGAACATAATCATCCAACACACCAGTAGGCAGGAGTGGAGCATTAACACTTCAATGTTTCCCACTGCAACCTGCAAGAGTATTGGCTACTTCAAAAATGTACACATCTAACTTTCCGCATGCAAGAAATGGCAGAGCGTGTCAATGAACAATGAAAGCTTTTCTCTCAACACAAGTCCCTGAGGTGTTCTGATGACTCATTTGTGTAACTAAAAAGCTCAGGGTTTGACTAAAGACACTTTCAATCATGCAGGCTATCCTTGAATGTTCAGGAATAGTTTCTGCTTGAAGTCATCTGTGAATGGGGGCAAGCATTGGGGATCGGGAAATCTGTATCGCCAAATTCCCACCTCAATGCCAAGTAACATTAATGTAAAAGAAAGCAGTGTCAGAGCAGGTACAAGCAGGAAAGGGCTTTTCCTGTCTTACAAAAGGCACTTTACAGCAAGCAAACTAATCACTCACCCAATCAGACACTGATGATTATATCATTTAATGAAATTAGTATCATTTCTGATTTAAGTGAGGGAAAAATATGACTCAACCTTGTTGAATATTATTAACAATACAAGACCATTGGCACTGAACAAAAACAGCCCCTCAATGTTGCTGAGAATCTAGATAACTCCATTTCATTCAAACCACAGTTTATTTGGTTTGCATCTAAGTGTTGCATTCCCGCCATCTCCTGGTCTGTCTTTGACCCCCGTCTGCTCGGGCATTGCAATGGCACGTGTACAAATGTTCAAGATGAAAATGATTGTGAATGGAGTGCACTTGTAAGAGTGAAAATCCTTTGCAATGCATTAAATGCTATCCCAGTCATTTACTACACGACTACAGTATGTGTGAAAGAAGCTTCAGGTTTCCGGACTTCTCTTGTATCCCTTCCTTTCTCTGCTGTTAACATCACACACTAATCTTGCAAAATCCAACTTTTAGTTTTTCCCAGAAACTTCCACTTCCTTAACAATGCAGTTGTTTGGTCATCCCTGTGAGAACCAAGCAGTCAGAGAAGCAGTGGTACTGGGTATTTGGTCATCCAGTGTTTATTTGTATGAGAATCTGAGTTTGGGAAGCATGGGAGCTGAAGGGTGGAAGAGAGATGGACAAAGAGATGCGACTGGGAAGTCACACTGCTCTTGTAAACATGACAAAAGTGAGGAAGAAAGGTCATAAACAAAAACTCTAACCAATGAGAACCAATATATGTATTCAGGGTCATGTGTACGATCCTATACTGTGTTATGATCAAACTTCCTGCATTTCTTAAAAGGAAGTGCGAAAAATATTTAGCAACGAATAAAAAAAAGAGAAACTATATAAATATGTATGTGAAAATTGAACGTCAGCATATTACAGTAAAGATAATGCATGGCTCTGTGTCTCCAGTATGTTCACTTGTGTTCGCTAACATTCACAACTTAGATCGAAAATTGTTGGTACATGTGTAGTGAACGTTTGTGTGAGTAACACACAAACGCATCCATGGCTGCTGAGGTCAAAGATGGGCCAGTACACGCAGCAAATGCAGCATGAAAGTGGAGGACACTAATGAAACACAACGCACAAAATCATGTCAGAGTTTAAGGTTATGACTAACAGAGCCGTGTTTTGAAGGAACATCGAGAGAAAAGGATGACATGAATAAATGGAAAAAGGATGAAAAATAAGCAGAGAGCCAGACAGCAGACGGCGCTGCTGCAGTGATGTCACAGCAGTCTGGGTTCGGTATTTCAGGTTTGTGTGAATGGGTACAGTGTGGACACACCGTCTGTGGACACCAACACATGGTTGTTAGGGTCATCTGCAGTTCAGAAGTATGTTATCTACAGTATTGTAAACAGGAGAGGTGAAGGAGAAACGGCTTTCTAAACATTCAAGCAGTTGTAGAGAATCAATTTGTATTGTTGCAGTTTTCCCAACTCTGCTTACAGAATAAAATGGCCTCCTTTTTTCTATTGTGAGGAATGCATGTCTTTCAAGACAGAGCGTATTTTTCATATTTTATGTTCTGTTGATATTTGTATGCCCAATTGCTTATTCTGAAGTTTTGCATTTAATCCTTTCTCCTCTACTTTGGAATTTAGCTTTTATTCTTTATTATTTTTTTATAAAAAGTGTTGTATTTGGGGACTTTTTTGTATGCATGTGAAACATGTTTCCATTCCTCTGATGCATGAAAAACATGTGACCAGTGACACAAATCCTAAAACCGTTGCTTCCAATGACCTGCAACGCTCCAATATAAACCCACTTAAGTTATATTCTCTGACACAGTGGCATGTTGTAAACACACACCTCTGATTCTCTTCTCTTTCTACAGGCGTCATGGTCTTCTTCTGCTTCAGGTGCTCGATCACAGCGTTTTGTTTCATCACCACCTGGAAACAAGTCAGAACAAACCACATGTTTAACAACAGAAAATATATTTATAGTATGAGAGAAAATTAAGCAAAAAATGACATCTTGATTAACATATTGAAACCCATGAGTGGAAAGAAGATATATACAATCATCTGGTTTTAGTTACTTTATTGATGTTTAATTTGTACTTCAAATATATATATAGAACTAGATTATTATTGAATGTGTCAAGTCAGTACACACACACACACACACACACACACACACACACACACACACACACACACACACACACACACACACACACAACACACACACACACACACACACACACACACACACACACACACACACACACACACACACACACACACACACACACACACACACACACACACACACACACACACACACACACACACACACACACACACACACACACACACACACACACACACACAGAGTTGTAAAAACAAACCCAGCCTTAGTGGAGGGTTGGAGGATGGGGTCTGTTTATGTACTGATGGCAGGGAGAGAGCAAACCTTGGACTAAGATGGATGACCTGGCTATGATGGGTTTCTGAGCACGCTCACACACACAAACACAAACACCTGTTTCTGAATGATGTCGCTCTGGCTGGCTGTGTTGAGGGCTTGCTCTCTCTTGGCCTCTGCAGCTTGTCTCTTCTTCTGCTGCTGCTGCTCTCTGAGCTGCTGGATCCTCTGCAGCTGCTCCTGGACAGAAGCTGCCTGGATGGTCACCACGTTCCCAATCTGTGCAGAGAGCATATTGTTATCAGGCTTTTATAATGTTAAATAGGGACCTTAGTGGGTTCCTATGAGGCTAAAATAAGTTAGCGCCTGGTTTACTGGCTTGCTGCATTACCTGTCCTCCCTGAGCTGAGGTGGTCCCGGCCTGTTGAATCTGGATGGGAAGCTGCAGTTTGATGTGCTGTGGCAGAGAGCATCCACCCTGCTGGGCCTGCTGGGCCTGCTGGGCCTGCAGCTGCGCCAACACCTGCAACACACAAGATACACAAGTTTAACAAAGCTGAAAGAAAACCAGCGTTATGTTCATACATTAATAAAACTTCTATTTAGATTCATCTTCCACTGTGAACTACATCAGTGGTTTAAAAAACAAAAGTGCTATAAAAAGGACCTCCTTTCCCTATTATATATACAAAAAAACACCCCTTGAAATGGAGAAGGCCGTTAGGAACCCCCTGTGTAGCTCTGGAGATCCCCACTGGGGCGTCCTAATCCACAGCTTGAGGAACATGGAGATACAGTGTCAACCTATAAGAGCCCCACCTGAATGGCTGGATATGATAAATGATCAGCCACAGATTGGTCAGGTAAGGCTTGCCATGGATTTATTTACATCCACAGCTGTTTTGCCCAAAACAGTAAAGTCTCCCACTGCTGGACAACATGTAGCTTTACCTGAGCAGTGCACAGTTGCTTAAAGTCATCAGTACTACAGCTGTTTTGGGAAGTGAAGTGCTGTTATAGCGATCACAGAGACTTTGTTGACATGAATACAAATATAGGAGGATTTTTTGTTTCGTCTAGGCTTTTGTGCAGTGGGTGGTAAAAACCCAATTACATGTTCGGAATAATATTGTGAATGTAAACGTAGCCTTTCTTGCTGATCGTACCTGAACCTGCTGCTGCAGTCCGGACATGCTGATGACCTGCTGCAGCTGAGCCGTTCCTCCCTGTGTTTTCACCTGCAGCGAGGTGGGAGACTGGATCGGCATGTGAGCCTGCGTCTGAGGGGGTAACTGGCCTTGTGGGGTGGCCGACGAAGGGGTGCTGGTAGTGGCCAAGGGGGTTGCCCCTGCCTGAACGGGGGCAGCCGCCTGCTGGGCGGGCTGGGCGGGGGTTTTGGTGGAGGTGGAGTTGAGCTGACCGGGAACTGTGGTGACTGGAGAGAGAGAGATAGAGATAGAGAGAGATAAAGAGGGTTAAAGGTTAGGACAAGTGTATCTTAATTGCAAATGACCCAGTAGAATTGCATACAATTTCCATTTTATTCTCACAATGAGTAGCTTTGAAGCAAAACATCCCAAAATGCATATCTGTGGAGTGTTTGTTGTGATCATACCTGTGCTTGATGTTGGCGTGGCTGCTGAGGCGATGGGAGTGAAGAGGAAGCGCTGCACCTGGCCGTTGGGCAGCACTGCCTGCATGAGCTGCTGACCGGGTCCTGGGATGACCGTGACCCCGTGAGGAATGACCTGCAGCTGGCCAGTGGTCTGGCCCTGACCCTGAACCATCACCGTCAGAGCCTGCTGGGTACCACCGACTCCAGCCTGCCGATCCACAGCTGAACCTGCCTGCTGCTTCTACGAGAGGCGGCGAGGAGAGGGTGAGGGAGAGGTAAGGTTAGTGTACGAGCTAATCCAAAATGAAAACATGTGGATGCACTCTATGACCTTTAAAAGAGTAAACTGTTATATGCTATACTGGCTTCTTCAAATAAACTTGATTTTGAATTGAACTTGAACTCTACACTTTACTCGTCAAAGTAGCAGGCTTGTACAATTTTAGGTTAATCAGCATTTTTGTATTTGCACAATTTGTCCTTTAATAATGGAGCTGAACACGTCTTTATATTCATACATAATCAACTAATGAATCTGAATATTTACCCATATTTTTACTCTAAATACATTTAAAGGAAAACATGTAAAGAGGAAACATTTGTACAGACCATTATAATACATTTATCTTGGCATGGTATTCTTTAATTTAAATCAAACCTCATTGCTAACGGGGAGATATTATTGATGTAACCCTGCACCGAGGACCCCCAGTGTTTCGATGCCTCCCTCACTGACCTGTGTGAGCTGAGTGAGCTGAGCAAGGGTGAGTTTGACCTGGCCCTGCGCCCGCGGGGGGGTGCCAGCTGCAGTCGTGGGGCTTCCTGCCCCTTGACCAGTAACCGTGGCAACTGGGCTGGCCCCAGATATTGCTGTGGAGACTGCCTGGCCGCGAATGATCTGCGTCACGACCTGCTGTCCACCCTGACCTGGAAAAGAAGGTGAACAAAGGCGCTAAATGTAACTAGACTTGCAAACGTGAAGAGGATATTTTGAATGTGAGGTTATCTGAGGTATTGGCTCAGTCTGTAGGGACTTGGTCTTGGAACCGAAGAGTCGCCGGTTCACGTCCCAATCGGACCCAAAAAAAGATGGAGTGAGCTGGTAGCTGGAGAGGTGCCAGTTCACCTCCAAGGCCACTGCCGAGGTGCCCTTGAGCAAGGCACCTAACCTCGAAACTGCTCCCTTGGCGCCGGGTACCTGGTAGCTTCTCTGCCCTGCCACTTCTCCTTTCTGCATGTGGTTGTGTGTGTGCATGTATATCCTCTGTGTGTGTGTGTGTGTGTGTGTGTGTGTGTGTGTGTGTGTATCCTCCGTGTGTGTGTGTGTGTGTGTGTGTGTGTGTGCATGTATATCCTCTGTGTGTGTGTGTGTGTGTGTGTGCATGTATATCCTCTGTGTGTGTGCATGTATATCCCCTGTGTGTGTGCATGTATATCCCCTGTGTGTGTGCATGTATATCCCCTGTGTGTGTGCATGTATATCCCCTGTGTGTGTGCATGTATATCCCCTGTGTGTGTGCATGTATATCCCCTGTGTGTGTGCATGTATATCCCCTGTGTGTGTGCATGTATATCCCCTGTGTGTGTGCATGTATATCCCCTGTGTGTGTGCATGTATATCCCCTGTGTGTGTGCATGTATATCCCCTGTGTGTGTGCATGTATATCCCCTGTGTGTGTGCATGTATATCCCCTGTGTGTGTGCATGTATATCCTCTGTGTGTGTGTGTGTGTGTGTGTGTGTGTGTGTGTGTGTGTGTGTGTGTGTGCATGTATATCCTCCGTGTGTGTGTGTGTGTGTGTGCATGTATATCCTCTGTGTGTGTGTGTGTGTGTGTGTGCATGTATATCCTCTGTGTGTGTGCATGTATATCCCCTGTGTGTGTGCATGTATATCCCCTGTGTGTGTGCATGTATATCCCCTGTGTGTGTGCATGTATATCCTCTGTGTGTGTGTGCATGTATATCCCCTGTGTGTGTGCATGTATATCCTCCCCTGTGTGTGTAATGTGTGTAAACACAACAGAGTGTGGAAAGAAATGTTCCTGTAAGGGATTAATAAAGTGTATCTTCTTCTTCTACTTCAGAGTCAGTGGGTGTTTCTCAATGTCGAGGAGGCTTGCTTGGTAGCACATGTACCTCCGAGTCAGTTGCTTCAGAAGTGAGGCAAGAATCCTTCCTAGCCTCGGAAAACGAAGAATTGTGGAACAGTTATAAATACATTTAAGTTTTCCGCGCTCTCGCAGGAATATCTCCGCAATGGACCGAGCTTAAGTTTCGATTGCATGATATAGCCCAGCGCAACACCTTCGTCACACATGTTGCCACTTGTTTGTACCATTTTCAGGTGATTTATAATCTGTTCTAGAAAAACGATGTGTTTTTGGATATTTGTGGAGTTAGGTGGTCCGCGAGTGTTTTTTTATTGGTTAAGTAGTCCTTGGTATGAAAAATGTTGTGAAACACTGTCATAGATGATGTGTATATATATATATATATATATATATATATATATATATACACATCATCTATGACAGTGTTTCACAACATTTTTATATATATATAAACGGTTGCTATTTGTTCTATCTAGATAAAGGATTCTTGTGGAGAGTTCATTACCTTGCTGGACCACGAGGGGAGTTCGGAGTATCGTCTTTCCCATTTGTCCGGTCTGCTGGATCGGTGTTCGGATCACCGTCATTCCTGGACGGATCTGAGCACCAGCTGCCAGAACCTGTTAGGACATTAGTAGAAATATTTTACTAATTAGTTATTTAAAAGCCAGCATCATTTTTCTAACATTTTAGAATCTTACAAAAAAGCGGTCAAACCCATAGTTCAGGAAAAGAGGAGCTGATTAAGCAAGAACTTAATTATATATAAAAGTTTTAAAAAGTACCATCAGTAATGTGAACACTTTGTTGCATTCATAGAATAAAATACAACACGAACAAAACAAAGCAATAGGCAAAGTTGTTCAGTTGTGATCACATAAGCAATGAACAAACGTAAAGAAGTTAAACCACTGTATGGATGCTTCACAGCACATGTACCTGCTGCTGGGAGCCTGGGGTATTGGGCCTGATGTTGAGCGTGGTGGTGTGCGGCTGGAATGTGGTGAAGGTCTGAGCACCGCCTGCTGTGCCTGACGGGATGATCCCCAACACTTTCTGCTGAACAACACCTGCAGAGAGAAGGGAAGCATAAAGATACCACAGTTTACATACAAGTGAGTAGATATGAGGCCAAGAAGAGTGCAGCTTGACCATTTTTCGCATCATTCAAGATATAAATATACAAATATTCCGGGCGGGAAGATCAGAGAAGAACAAGTAAATACTTTATTTGATGACACGCATATGGCAGGAAAGTGGTTTTAAGGAAGCGTGAAAGAGAGAAAAGCCGCAAAGAAGGGACAGCTTATGCAAGTTTTAGTTTATAGAAATGCACAGGGTTCATTTGTATCCTCACAGGAATGCTTGTAATCTTGTATCTTTAGAGCTCAATGATATGTATGTGAATACCTGTCTTACATCAAACACATCCACCAACGCATATTTGAATGCTCAAACATTCCTAATACAATTACTGATGTGAAGCTGTGGCCACATGTTTGCGTGCCACAAGTGAGCAAGTTGTAAGAAGTCCTGCATTGATACAACTAAATACATTATTTGTGGGCTTCTCTCCCTACTTGATGGCCTGTGTTTGATCACAGCAATGGCAAATATTAGTTGAGCAGGTAAACAACATCTTCAAAGGCTCACTGAAAGCTTAGTTGGGTTTCCCCCAACATACCTGAACCCCCTCATAAATTATGCATGAATTGGGATCCTGCTTTTTAACTTTAATCTGACAAAGGGAGCGTTTCATATTTGTTCGCCAGGCCGTCTGCCTTAATGAGCTCACGTGAAGCTGATGGCAGAAAACCGAGAGTGTCGCTCTTTTCCTCTGCTGCCTTTTTGCTGCGGTTTCTCAACCGCAACCGAGCAGGTAAACCTATACATCAAGGGTTTCCCTCTTCAAACAGGGATGTTAAACCGGTCGTAAGACCAGGGGAGTAGCAGCTCGGTCACACACATCAAACACACTTTTCTATGGACTGGCTGTTTGGAGAGGTCTGGGAGTTAGGACTCCGGTGAGTTGAGAGGTGCACTTTTATTCAACAAGGAGGAAGGAAAAAAAGAAAAATGGAATCCCGTTATAGAGGGCTACCTGTCTGGTAAGCAGACCTCAGGGTAAACTTGTTTTCCTGCCTCACTTCCTTAAGCCCGTCCAAAACAAACAGGGCGCCCAACAGTCATGCTGGATAAATACACATGTCCATTAAATGGTTACACTCCATCTGAACTTGGTTTCTCCTTCATGGTGACTTCAAAGGTAAGAAAAATCACTTTCTTTGTATCCTTGGTGAATATCATTATCTTTATCTGGTGAATGCAATGTTTTTATAAAGCAATTGTGTGTTAAATGATACATATACTCTATTTTCATTGACATTATCATTATCATTGCATCACAGTTGAAAATAAAGACCTCTTCAGATTTTTATTTTCCACATTTTTCTTTTAGCTAGCTTGACAGAAGGATTTTAAAACCGTAGAAAGCTGTTCAAATTGAATCAATCCAAATGATAGATACCTTCCAAATGTTCATGAATTTCCAGACTAACATTTCCTATTTGATCTTTCTGTTTTTTCACTGAAGCATATTTTAAGCTTGAGCTTAAAAAAAGTACCCTCTAATAAAAAGGGTACATGTGTGATACATTTTGTCAGATAATTGTTTTTGTTATGTTGAATAACCCAAAACGAGAGCCGTCAACAGCTTTAATGGAACATGTAAACATAACAGACCACCTGCACTGAGTGTTAAGCCATATCAATCACCGATAATATGACAGGACCGCAGACATGCCAGCTGGTGCTCAGTACAAACCATCGCCTCATCCGCAGTGTCAATATTAACATATTATACAGTTCTGAAGCACCAAACTAAATATCGGACAATCCTGAATCTGCAGTCTGGATTTCAAAGCTCAGACTACACAAGTCCACCATCCTAAAAACCATCCATCCAAAATAACAACTTTCTATTAGATCACCATGCCGACAGGACACAGCCAGACATAAACTGCGACACCAAACCAGCTGAGTCATGAGGTTGGCACATTAAGGGCACCACAATTGGGTTTTAGCCTTTTATTCTGTGTCCACTGACAAAAATATCTGTCTCTTTACCTGCTATGTTCTTCACTATGTTTACCAGCTAGTGTCTGAGTGTGTCTGTCTGCTGTCTGGAGCTGGGCAGGTAGTTTACTGTGGGTTTATCACAGTACAAGGTTTCAGCGCAAACCTTGTAGAAAAAGACCTCCTTTAAATCTCATATACCACCCCCTTTAAACATTGCAATATGTCTTGCACAAATCTAGTTCATTCTCACAGTCACATTACTAAATAAAAAACGTCAGGAATCATTGAGGGGTGTATGTGATCATTTAAACTATGGAATCGGGCTAAATGAGGACACATCTTAATTTCAAGCATGTAAAGAAAAACAAGACTGCAATACGGTAAAACTAACTGTGACACCTGTGAGATTGATTCAAAGAGACAAGCTTGTTTAATCGAGCTCAACAGGTCTTCTAGGTTGTGGGTTTTTAAAGACATGTACTTGGCTCACTGACAAAGGCAATCAAGGACAGAGGAGTGTCTCATTTGTGTCTAATTTGTAGACTTCAAAACGTTTGGACGTGCAGTAGCTGGCACCAACAACTTTAAAAATGAAGACAGACTCAGTCCTTCTGGAGCGCTGTGTGCGTGGTTGGCAAGCTCAATTGCTTACAACGGCATCAAATTAATGAGCCAGATCTAATTTGGCTCCTTTGACACATTTGAAATGTCTCAGCTGTCTGAGGTCTGAGGTGAGGCAATGAAAACACAAACAAACACGCATTCTGAGGTGGATGGAAAGAACAAATGTCTACACTGAATAAATGCAACTTGTGCTCTCCTTCTGCCTCCAAGGTGTGGCGTATTAAAACCGGCCTTACCTCCTTGTGAAGTTGGCACGTTGACAGTGACGATCTTGCTGTTGGAGGGGAGTGGCAGCTTGGTGGTCACTACCTTCCCCCCCATAGAGGTTCCCGTAATCTGGAAGGTGTGTCCACTAGATGTGGCCAAGGTGGTCTCACCTGCAAACAAATAAAAAATGCTGTTACAATGACATATTTACAATTGCAAATCCAATAATATTATTAATATTTGTACAATGATTTGTGATCCATGCCCTTTAAATAAGAACATAGAGTAGATAGTGCTTATCTACTGCAAAGTACCTTGTGTGCTTTGACCCTGCTTGACCCAGGTGGCGAACGACTGGTGGAAGTTTTTGTTCTGCTGGAATGTGACGGGGGTGCCCATCTTGGTGGACAGTACCACCTTGGTGGTGGCAGTGCCCTGGCCCGACAGTGAGCCGATGATGACTTTGGGCGTGGAGACAGGTGTTGCAGGAGTCCCTGTTGGGGTCACTGTGATGCCTGGTTTCTGTTCCAGACGTTTCTGTGATGGTACATCATTCAGGTCATTAACATAGGAAAACATGATAAAAGCATTCAAAAGGAACTGCTAATACATAATATATATTTAGCTTAAATTAGCTATTGTATCGGTATAGATTGGTATAGACTGGGATGTTCAAGGGTTAGCTTCTTGGGAAAATGATACCATTGATGAACTGTCTGTTTTGATTCATTCAGAGTAAGTGTTTTTAAGTGCAGTCCACTGCCAGATTGAATTATTTTTCCACATTGAAAGAAGATATAATAAAAAATAAAGGCCTACTGTTATATTATTTGTAGGATTAAAGTGCTTATTAAGCGTGAAGATTACGTAACTGAACCAGACTCACCTTGGCCTGCTCGGCTGCCTGAGCTTTCTCCCTCTCCACCCTGCAAAAAGAAAAAGAAAAAAGAAGCTTAACAAAAAGTAAAACATTTGTGAAAAATAAGGTCAGATGATGCTCCATTCATTTCAATTTAATACATGTTGAAAGTTAGGTGTAATTTTTTGTAAGAGTTTAATATCTTGTATTTAAAACATTTTGAGCATCTGCCACAGCCACATTTACAAAGTTGTGGCCAGTTTGGTTATTTTTGATTAAGGTTTTGTTTACTATTTATGTATTTTTGTCATAACTTCCAAATGAGTTTTAACAAAGAATATCGTCACTGACAAATGTGTATGTATAACATGGTTGAACCCTGTGACCTCTCTGAGAAGGCTCTGATCTCCCAGAGGTCCAGCTCCTCCTCAGCCACCCAGGTCTCCATCACCACGGGGCCCGTCTGCTTGGCCGGCTCCGCCTTTTTGGGGCGCAACGCACTGGATCGCAGCCCCTTCCTCTGAGGGGTGTGGGTTTCTGTGTGGATCAAAAACAGTTCAGTGTTATTGTGTAATTTTTAAACCCCTTTCTTAAGTGTGGAGAATATGAACTGTCGCTAACCTTTAGGAGTGTCAGGCACTCCAAGGGGGCAGATGATTTTGCGGATGCAGTACTCAGAGCGAATGCCGTAGGGTCCCACGTCACGGCGCTTGATGATCTCTGTCGTGGTGATTTCGGTGTCTGACGTCTCTGTAGCAATGAGTGGGGATAGGGCTGGGTTGGTATGGTGATGAGGAGAGCCCGAGAAGATGGAGTGGATGCGCTCCAACATAAACAGAGTGACACCAATGTGACCCATATGAGGGCTGTGTCTTCTTAAGGGCCAATATGACATGGGGCTCAGGAGGATAGCCCAGGTAGATACTATGACTGTTATTGAACCACATATTTGACATTTTTTGAGCAACCAGTGTCACATATCATCAACCTAATAGAAAGTAATATCGGTATAAAAAAGAAGAACATTCGGTAACACTTTATTTGTAAATACATTAAAGCATATAGGCTAGTATGGCTAACGCTAGCATGCATGCAACGCTACCGTGTATGCTAGCGCGAATGCTGGCGCGAATGCTAATGCAAATGCTAGCGCGAATGCTAAGCATTTTCTCATTGTGTTTAAACATCTCCAAATGTCATCACATAAACACAATACATGTTACTAATCCTTACAGTGTAAGTACACTAACAGTCATTGCTTTCTGACGGACTTGACCCTTTTACTATTCAGGTTGCATAGGGAAAATTAGTAGTTGTCTACTGCCATGCTATTCAGTTCACTTTATCCTACCCGGTTTCCTGTCCAACCTTCAGTACACATTTTCCAAAAATATAAATGTGCAAATATGAAACATACTGCTATTGGTAGCTGAACTGTCAATACCCCAAAACATATTCTTAGATATAAATATCTAATTTTGAGTTATTTAGACACAATTAACACTTATAGTTTAATGTCTTGATACATAAGAATAAATCATATTTGTTCAGTGGCGAACCGTCAGGGCCTTCAAGGCAGATGAGTAACAAATGCGTCACTTTCGGGCAAAAATAACTTCTCCGCCCACTTTTGGGGGAAAACAACGCTGTCAGTTGAACGGCGGTCAATACAAATTCTGAAGTTTTTGCCAATCCGATCAGAAATGTAAGAAAACCGGAGATTTTTGGATCATCAAAGAGCCCGATTCCAATGGCTAGACAGGCAAACAATTGCATTAAGCCATTATAAATCGACGATCGGGCTCGACATATGGTTAAATATAGCAGTAGGCTATCGATTTTCATAGATGAGAGTAACATCGACGTCACTTTACGGCCCCGCCCACTTTTTGGGGAAACAACGCTGTCATTTGAACGGCGATCGAGCCTGAAGCCACAGAGCTCTTCTTTTACTGTCCTTTCTTCTTAGAGGAAGTACAGAAACACTGAACTCTGGATTATTTGTAATGTTTGAGGTGCAATAAACGACAAGGCAGCTTGTTGGCATGATAAAACTATTTTGTTCCGCCTCGCTCATGAGAGTAACAGCTGAAGAAATTACAGCCTCGCCTACTGATTTTAATTTAACCATATATCAAGACCAATTGTCGATTACCAATGATCAAATGCAATTGTTTACCTGTCTGGCCATCGTAATCGGGCTCTTTGAAGATCCAAAAATCGACGGTTTTCAAAAAATGTTGATCGGATTGGCACAAACTTCAGAATTGGTATTGACCGCCATTCAAATGACAGCGTTGTTTTCCCCCAAAAGTGAGCGGAGCCGTAATTTTTGCCCGGAAGTGACGTAGGTGTTACTCTCATCTATTCAGAGAATACCCTGGAACACTCAGATAAACAAACAAAAAATCGATTTAATTATATAAATAAAATGTATATAAAATGAATAAATGAGAATCGTATCTGTGTTGTTGATCTGTAATATTACAGTGTTACGTTGATTTGTTTGTCCTTCTCGGACCATGCACTACGCATTTCAGTGGTTTTGTGAAAGCAACCAATCAGGTCTTGTTATCCTTCAACCAAGGTATTCTACATCCTTGATCGAATGCCCTGGGGCCTCATTTATAAAGGGATATACGCTCAAAAAATGGCGTACGCCAGTTTCTACGCAATGTTTGCTAAAATACTAACTTGACGGGAAAATGTGCGGTCCTCCACGCAAACTCTAACCCATGCGTACGCACTAAGCACAACAACGGGAGAGACGAGAAACTGCGACACCGCGTTGGCAGAAGGAAGAATGGAGAGAAATATGTGGAAATAATACCATAAATAAAATGTTACCTCTCATTTATCATATATGAACAGTGGCGGCGGGTCATTAGGGGCAGGTGGGGCACAGCCCCACCTAGTGTCAGAAGAAAGTATTACAAATAATGATTACAAAAAAAATACTAAAAAATAAATAAAAAAACATATAAAATATATATAATCTGATTCGTCTGTACATTTCTGTTTTAGTCTGTGTTCTTCTAATTAGTGTCTAGAGTGCCGTTTTGAGCTGTTTAGAGCCATGTGGGACAAAACCCGATCCTGCCCCTCCCTCTCACAGTCTAAGTGAACGGTGATTGTAAAAACTACACTGCGCATGCTCAGAGTATTTTTCTATTTAATGTGTGTGGCAAAAAAATAATGACGTAGGGGCATAGTGCTCCCATCCCCACCATACGTCATCTCACATAATTCAGAATTGATTGGCTGTAAGTACTCACGTGTGCAGTGCTGCGAAACGTCACGTGTAGTTTGAAGAGGAGACGAGAAAGCAGCATATAGCTAACATCACCAGCGATTAAAAGAAGTAAAAAACTGAAAGAAAATGAATGAAGTTGACCATTTACTGGAGCACACATTTGAGACACTTAGTCTCGGAGAGAAACTGGAGGTAAAGCGCCTCGGTGCCCACCATCCACCGGATTTCCAAATGGTCCAGACTGCGGGCAAAGTTAAACGTGGGTTTAACGCTGAGTGCTAAAAAGAAATGGCTAACGGCGAGCATCCAGAAGAATTCCCTCTTTTGCTTTCCTTGCCTGCTTTTTGGTGAAGATCAAGGTACTTGGTCGAGGACAGGTTACAAGGACTTAAAGCATCTTTCGGAGAGGACAATGAAGCATGAGAGCAGCAACAGTCATTTGGAAAATGCCGTAAAATTGGGATTACTTGGAAGGGTGAATGTTGCAGCTCAGATTGACAGCGCCTACAGACGCGGCATTGATTCTCATAATAGGAAGGTGGAAGAAAACAGGTACGTGCTTGGTCGGATCATCACCTGTATTAAACTGTGTGGGAAATGTGAGACAGCACTGCGGGGCCACAACGAGTCGGCGGACTCTCTGAATCCAGGGATATTCAGGTCAATTTTCGAGACAATGTGTGAGGGCGATTCCAGGCTTCAACGGCACTAAGAAGCTCAGCTTGTTTTCAAAGGGACATCAAGCACCATACAGAATGAACTCTTGGACTGCATGTATGATGTGTACAGGGAGGAAATAGCCAAGCAAGTGGACAACACATCATTTGTTGCCGTTCAGGCCGACGAGACAACCGATGTCTCCTGTAAATCGCAAATGGTGATTGTGCTGCGATACATTATGCCTGACCTCACAGTTACAGAGCGTTTTTTGGAGTTGTGTGGAAGTAAAGGACAAAACTGGTGTAGGTCTCTCTAACAGCATCAAGGCTGTTCTGGAACCCCTGAAGCTGAAAGAAAAGCTAATCGCTCAGACCTATGACGGGGCGGCCGTCATGAGCGGTAACGTGCGCGGGGTACAGACGGTGATGAAGGAGACGTACCCAAACGCTCAGTTTGTTCACTGCTACGCCCACCAACTGAACCTGACCCTGCAGCAACTGTGTTCAGCAAGGATGAGCATCCTGAAGGTGTTTTTTGCAGATCTAACTGCTTTTTCCACTTTTTTATCCGGTGCTCCAAAACGTGTTGAAGCTCTTGCAGAGGCAACACAGAGACGCATCCCACGGCCACCGGCTGTGAGATGGAACTTTAAAAGCAGAACTGTGAACGCGGTTTGGGAGACCCGAGATGCACTACTTCAGTGTATGAAGCATATACGCGCACAACCAGGATGGGATGCGGTCACCATAAGTGAGGCATACGGCCTGTCAAAGAAACTGCGGGACCGAGCATTTATGCAGCTCCTGGAGTTTTTTTCGTTGCTTATGCCAGAAGTGGATGTTCTATACAACACTCTGCAAAAACGAAGCATCGATGCACCTGGGATCAACAGCGCGCTCTGCCGTTTCAAGGAAAATGTTCAGAAAATGAGGCAGAAAACTGATGCATTGGCCGCCACTGCTCATGATGGAACAGACGAGCCAGGCCGACGAGTCAGCAGCACAGCGCCGGTGATGAAGGAGGCTTGTGACACAGTCATCTCACAGGTGGAACAGAGGTTCTCACAGAGTGACCATTTGATCGCTGCAAAGCTTGTTGACAGCTCATTCTTCCCACAGCATGTCTACACCTGAGCTTGACTGCGCCGTGAAACTGTGGCCTGCGTTGGGAAACAAGGAGAAGTTGAAGTCTGAGCTGACCACGCTCTACCGCCACAGTGAGCTTCACACTGTTATTTTGGTCAAAATAATAGTGACAACTCCGATGACGACATCCGAGTCAGAGAGGAACTTTTCCACCCTCAAAAGGATAAAGACTTTCACTCGCAACACCATGGGACAGCCGCGACTTAACGCATTGGCCATGCTTTCAATTGAAAGCCAGTTGATCCAGCAACTACAGGACTTCATCTCCAAAGTGATAGACACATTCTGTCAGAGGAAGGACCGCCGTGCCGCTTTTCTTTTCAAGTGAGCCTTCAGCTTTGGTAAGTTCATTTATGTCATATATTTTGTTGATCTTCTGTGTTTTGCCTCTGCTGGATCGATTGATATTGTGACCTCGATGATGAGTGTCTGTGTTTTCCTTATATTTACAGTCTATGGTGTTTTAATGCTAAAGCATTACGGTTGTTGTTATTGTTAAGAATTACTTTGTGATGGTGACCTTTACTCCATGTATGAAGGTGCATTACTATGACATCCCCACGCTGTGTACGTAAATGTATGCGCTCACAGTATTGCTCCTGTGGTCTTCAGTATGTAATTTGACACTCCCCCTCTCTCTCTCCTCCCCCCCTCTCTCTGTCCCCCCTCTCTCTCCTCCCTCTCTCTGTCCCCCCCCTCTCTCTCTCTCTCTCTCTCTCCCCCGACCTCTTTCTGCCCCCCCAGTTTTGTACACCTAGAAACGCCACTGTATATGAAGAATTCATTTTCAAACATTGATTAAAGCCAATCTTAAAATGATTAAACAAACGCCTGTTTGGACTCCTCAGTGCACACAAAAACATAACTTGGAGACATAAATAAATACGGATATGTTATTTAAAACCACCTCGAATATGTTGTGTTAATGTTATGAAATGTTTTCTCATAAATGATGCGGTAAGCAGGAGGACAGAATTACGTCTAAACTGAGGCCGTTTTGCATTTCTATAGGTTGTATAGATACGAGCATGGTTTTATATACTATTGTGGTGACCACCTTTAATACACTGGGTTACATAATCCACACATGGAACTAGAGTTGGGGGTATTGTTTCCACACGGACATATATGTGGTTACCTTTATATGTTGTGTGCCCTCCTGGCTCTTTCTCTTGTTGTCCCGGGCTGCGACCCGACAACACCTGCATTTCTGCTGCTCATTAAAGACAGTTTTGCACCTTCGATGCACCGCCTCCGACTCCCTTTCTCTCGGCACTACACTGGTGACCCCGACAGCGTCTTGAGAAGTTTCCGAGACGGACCCGAACACGGCAAAGGAAACTCAGGTTTCTTTCTCGAAATGCCGGGGATTGATTGGAGACGTCCGTTGCTGCCACCGGCGCGCGGACTGAGGCTCGGTGCGTGCCCCGCGGAATGGCTGGGGACTTTGCTCGCCATTCCCGCATCGGCTTTCCGGCTACAGGGAGACCATGCACGACCTGCTGGGTCGACCAGCAACCCGATTGCTGCCTCGTGGGCTTGTTACTTCAGGGCGTGCGGCTGCACGTCCCAGCTGCGCTGGTTGACGGCAGCTAGCGGCTAACCACGTGGGGCTAACGACGGCTAGTGCTAACGGCTATCAGCCCTTTTGATTTTTTTTTTGATTTTTTTTTCTGGTGCTTGAGAGGAGGTTCGACCAGCCGGTTGACCTCGTGTGGACACTCACTTTTTCACCACCTCAACGGCGGTTCCAGACGCCACTCAAGTTTCCTTCGGCGCCTGGGTGGTGCACTCCTGGACCTCGCCTCGACAGTTTCAGACGTCACCCATGCCTTCGTCGGCCCGTGGGTGGCGCGCTTCGGGACCCTGTCTGGCCTCTTCCTTCGCCTTGGCGGTTTCGGACGTCGCCCATGCCTTCATCGGCCCGTGGGTGGCGCGCTCCGGGACCCTGCCTGGCCTGGCCTCTCCTCTTACCGCGGCTCACGGTTCGCCTCAACGGCAGCTTTGGACGCCCCCCCCGTCTGGCCTCTCCCCTGTCCCCGGCTCTTTCCTCCCGAGGACTTCGTGCCCGCCGCCGCTGTGCCCTCGCCTGCGGCCGGGCAGCGCTCCTTCCTGCTGGGGACCACCGGGTTATTCACGCCCGTTGCGGCTCAGCGACCCGGTTTTCACCGACTGGCGGGTGATGACTTCATTCGCCACGACGCCTACTGCGGACCCCTTACGACGGCCTGTTCCCGGCCCGCCCCCAGTGGAGATGCCCTCGTTGGGGCCCCTACCCTCTACTGCGCCCCCCTTCCGACGGCCCGTTCCACCTGCAACCTCAGCCTCCTCGGCCCCTGTGGTGCTTCCTCCCGGACGCGGGGATTTGTTTGCCATGTTAGGATTCTGGGGGGGCTTGTGTGGTGACCACCTTTAATACACTGGGTTACATAATCCACACATGGAACTAGAGTTGGGGGTATTGTTTCCACACGGACATATATGTGGTTACCTTTATATGTTGTGTGCCCTCCTGGCTCTTTCTCTTGTTGTCCCGGGCTGCGACCCGACAACACCTGCATTTCTGCTGCTCATTAAAGACAGTTTTGCACCTTCGATGCACCGCCTCCGACTCCCTTTCTCTCAGCACTACACTATCATGTTTAATCGTGTTTTATGCCGTTTGCCAAGACTTGATAAGTCGCTCGTAAAACACAGAAGGTATGTAAGCTAAGAACACCATATGTGGTAAATTGTAAAGCTAATATAACACAACACATTGGTTGTATTTCCTTTAACTGGTGGATATAGAGTTGCTGCGGGGTTGAGATGCACAGGCTGCAGCGGAGACGCTGATCGACAGCTGGGAAACAAACCACCAAATACAAAAACATAATTCAGATCCAGTCGTCATGACTCCACTCCGGAGGGATTCCCCGATCATTTCTTACAGTTTCTCATCAAGGGGAGGGTCTCCTGTCCCCCGGTACAAACACACTGCCTGAGGAAGACTATGTGTATTTATTTTGTCATTAACCTTTTTCGGACCACTTATTTATTTATTTTGGTGACGATCCGACCTCCATGCTGCTACTCTGGTTCAAACTGCATCCACCAAACAATATGATTTATCTCGACCTCCCCAAAATAACCAAAATCTGACACGGTGTGAGATGTCTTTTTTAGCTGTTCTGTCGTCATTTCCTGCTATCTTCTTCATGCAGTCAATCAAAATTAATGAATGAATGGGCGTTTCGTTGACTATTTATAGGCAAATATGGGCGTTACGTGAAGCCCGCAAAAGCTGCACCGCATTTCGAGTCGATTGTGATTTATAAAAGGGAAACCGGCGTAGGAAGTGCTGTACGCACTTTCCTCGCCGGTACGCAATGTTTGGTGAATCGGAAAATGTCGGAACATTTCTGTACCTATTTTTTGGATTTCTACTACGTAAGCAACCTTCCCACGTCAATCCTACGCACGGCGTTATAAATGAGGCCCCTGGCCGTTGCAGTGAATGAGAGCGTACGTTTGGACCATACAGTCTATGGTTTGGACTGACAGTTTGATCAACCAATCATATATTGATTTGTAGCCAATGGGCGTATTCTTTCAGAGTTCCCCTCGGTTCCAGGGTACTCTAGATTCTAGTTAACTGGCTCGAGACAGAGGATCTAGAACAAATGCAACGAAGCAATTCATGCCGTTTTATTGTTTTTAACGTTGAAATGACAAGTGCAACAGGTGAAGATGAAGTTGTTGCGTATTTATTGTGAGTACCCTTTTCAACACGACAATTCAGTGAAAAGACGGCGATTATAATGTCGCGGGGGGGGGGGGGGGGGGGGGGGGGGGCGGGGTGTGTGTGTGTCTACAGAAGGTCCAGTTGTGATAGACACGGTTCGCCACTGCATTTGTTAAGTGTTATTATGGGAGAATTACTATTCTTGTGGTACTACTGCCTTATTAGGCCCATATTGAGCAGCGCATATTAAGACCAAAACTCATGTACAACAACTTCTTTACTTGCAATAAATAAGCACTAATTAGAGGGTTATTGAGGAAAAACTCTCAACTAATGGCCTATTACTTGTAGAATATGGTCATGTAGAATAAAGCATTAATAAGTGTTTTATAATGACTAATAAAGAGCCAATATACTGCTAATATGCATGTTAATTACTAGTTGATGGTTCATTTGTGTACCTTAATATAAAGTGTTACCGAACATTCATAAAAGAATCATGCAGGAATTAGTTAACAGCACATAAACTCCACTAAAATAATCACCTTTATATCTTACATATCAAACAAAACAATTGTTATCCCCCCAAAAAACCCTAATCTACTTGTAAGCAGTCTTTCCCATTCCTCCTGGAGCCTCTTTATTTGGATGTCGGATGGAGTAAGGGGGCTCTACCTGTACGTGTGGTGCCGATCGCTGCGGATGGTTTGACGGCCATGTCGTCCCATCTCAACGAGGCCCAGAGAAGCCTTAGCATCAGGCTAACACCAGCCAAAGACTTCACGGTCTGCAGACGGTACCTATAACACAGGGATTAGGTATTAATCATGTATATAGTTGCATGTAACCATTAGTCCAACCAAGTAGTGCTTTAAACATAGCATAACACCTAACATAACATGACAAAAAGCTATACTGAAAGAAACTCCAGGGAAATGGAAATATCTGTTGTGTAAAAATATGCTCTTCACTGCTCGTGTCATGCAGTTTATTATTGCGGTCCAATTGACGGTCAGTGACTCGCTTGGTGTTACCGAAAATACATTGTAGCATGATGATGAAATCGGGAAGGCAGAGTAAAAACAGACAGTGTTGTTTGGTGAGGAACTTGGACATTTCCATGAAAGAACTTACTGGCTGCTATTTTTGAATAAATAATTTAATTATATAACTAATTCTCGAGAGTGATTCATTATCTCTGACTATAAAAGCAAGCAAAAACAATTTACTTCAATGGGAAACATTTGCATAATTCCTTTTAGGGTGTAAGAGACTGCTCTGAGTGTATAATTAGGCAACTTATTCCATGCATTATTATGCTGTTTAGTAAAAAACCTTTTGAACATCTTCTATAATATCATCATGAGACTGTGTCTTCAGTATAAATCACTTTCCCATGTGTAAAAACAGGTGGGAAAATGTAACACCAAATAAACAGAAAATCAACAGGCCATGGCATTCTGAAAAAACAAGGGGAGAATTTAAAAGAGCGATGCTTAAGGAATGTAGGATTAACCTTATCCACCAACAACAAATCGATAAAACGACAATTACAAATAATGGTTAGTTTTAGACCCAATTATCTGTATAATTAGCAAAGTAGTAACTCCTGGTTGCTTAGAGAGAGTTTTAGAGAAAATGTTAATAAGCTTGTGAGAAAAATAACCAGAGAGCCATCTTACCTCCAGGTGATGCCGAACGTGGGCCTGGGTGAGGGATACGGCCAGATATCCAGCGCTGGCTTGGCATTGTAGCTGAAGATGGACACCTCACGAAACCCGCCTCGCCTTGCCAGCACCTTCAGGTTGTCATGTGGCAGTACAAAAATACTCTTGCGGCTGCTCTTGGTGACAAACTTACGGTAAGAAGGAAGGGCAGTGTCTGAGCGAGTCTTCTTGGTGCGGGAGAACTTGAGGAGACGGACCCGGCCCTTTGTGGACAACGAGTCCTCCAGACTCACAGCGACAGACAACAATGAGGTCTTACCACGGCTGTCAGTTGTGGACTTACTGACTGACAGTGCTGTCTTCTGCTCCTTCGTCACTATCTCACTCTGGCTGTCCTCTGACTGACTGTCCAGCCCAGGGGAACAGACTTTGGTCACAGTTGTTTTGGTCATGGTAGTGAGGGTGGACACTGCGCTGTTTTCTGTTGTCGACGCGACAGGCTTTTTCACAACAGCCGGCTCATTCGATGGCATTTTTGCTATCCTCATCTCCGTAGAAACAACAGTTGTGGTGGTTGTGGTTACCTGGGTGATGATGGTTTTGAGTCGTTCTGTAGTCCCGCTGTTACTGTTCTCCTCTGCAAAGCCGTCGCTCAGACTTAACTTCTCTGCTGAGGGTATAGGAGACGGCGCCATCCTGATGATCTTCACCGCAGGACTGGGTTTGTCCTCCATAGACTGAAATGGGAAAGTGCTAGTTCCAAGTGCTCCTACATTGTTCTCCAGCCTCGCGATCTTCAGTGGAGGTTTGTAGTCCTGGTCTGAGGTCATTGTCTTGCTCTCTATCTTAGAAACTAGGCTTGGCCCCTTGTCCCCAACCTCTGTACAATCATTCAAAGGGGCCAAATCTCCATTCACTAAAGGCTTTGGCTGCGTGCCGTCCTTCAACGACACAACCACCCCATGTTCTTCAACTTTACCAATGATGTTCTCCTTAAGCTGTGTACTGCTGATAAGTATACCATTATTTGAGCTCATTACAGAGTTACTTAACACATTTTCACTCCCCAAGCCATCATTACCATTTACCTGAGGGAGAGGAGAAACTGGCTTGGGAATGCCATCGCTTTCGGTTTTACCTTGTCCAATGCGTTCTATATTTTCTAGGATCTCCTTTGGCCCCATGCCGTTTTCCTCTGTGCTTGAATGTGCTGAGCCTAAGGTTTCTGGGTTTGGATTAATACCTTTAGAAGGAGATGTGTTTTGACTGCCTATCTGCCCAAGAACACTTGGAGAAGTCCGTAGGGAGTCGAATTTGAAGTTGGAAACCTCAGACCCAGTTTTTTCAATATGTGCAGCCTTGGTAACATCTGATGTTACGGTGGCTGTTTGTCGCTCTAAAGAGCTTTGAATTCCCCCTGCTGGTGTTTCTTGTGAATTAGGCAGTTTGATGCCCTCTTGCCATGAAATGTCTGTATTTGTTTCTTTTTGCCCCATAGTCCTTTCTACTAAGTCTGCCTCCAATACCTTGGGCTTTGAAAGAGTTTGGTTTTGTGTACCTGTACTGCAACTGTCTTTGGGTGTGGAGTCAGGAACAGGAGAAGGAGTAGGAAGAGAGACAGTCTGATTCGTAGTTTTAGAGGGTTCATGCAGACCCTCCTTGACATCCTCTCGTCCTTCAACTGTTCCCAGCACTCGAATTTGTGTTGTGGGTTTCTCCTCTTCTTTTACAGCTCTGCCCAGTGCAAGCTGTGTCTGAGCGAGAGCATGGGGCTTGAGTGGAGACCGTGGCCGGACCGGAGTGCTCGGAGGGGGGGTTGCTGTGAATGCAACGGGTATAAGAGTCTGAGGGTTGGCGGCAGACGCCTGCTGCCTTTGCCTCTCTTCAATAACGCGCTGCTTTACACGTCGCTCCAGCAGGCCGTCCAGTTTGGAGGTCTTGACCTTCTTGTAGGGAATGCGCGTTATGAAGCCCTTGCTGACATCTACTACATCGTAGTTAAAGGGCCGTGTGGAGATATCTGTAGGCTCCTCCTTCACAGCAGTCTTTTCCTCCTGAATACTGGAACCTGAAGAGAAAATGTATTCAGACTTTAATCTGCATTGATATACAACTGGGATAATCACATTCTCTGTCAATACAGTTTAAAACGTACACAATATAAAAAAAAAATGTGTAATACTAAGAGCCATTCAAGTTTAAAACTACACATGCATTTAGATAGTGCTATTACACAAAGCCGCACTGTCATACTTTGCTCTTCTGGTCGTGAGTCTGGAGGGTCCACCTCCATCTTTGTTGGCGTTTCATCTGCTGGTAATTCCTCAGACTTTTCCTTCTCCTCTGCCCCTTGTTTCTGTTCCTCTTCCATCCTCTCATTAGACTCCAACTCATTAGTCATTGGATGATATGTTGCAGGCTTGGAGAGGCTGGAGGAGTCTTGATCTTTCTCCTCACCGCTCGACACAGCAGCTCCCTGAGCCTCTGGTGCAGCGACAGTGGGGCGTCGACTCAAGTCCAGCAGGGTACATTTCTTGCCAAGTTTAGCATCTTTGGAAAAAAAAAAAAAAACCTGTTTTATTATATTGAAGAAACACATCTAGAGCTACTAATGTTTGGCATTCATTTTACAATTTGTTGTACTTAACACTCTTAAAAAAAGATAATCATGCAGTTTTCATCTTACACAACTTCAAAAATTTGTTTTTGTCCCTGCAGTGGATCTGCAGCTTGGCTAAACATTTTAAATAATAAGGTAAAGTAAAAGGTCAAAAAATTAAACATAAACCAACAGTATGATTATTCAAATATTTGGGACGTTTTTGATTTGCTTAACATAATGACATCCAAAAGCAAATCAAAAGTGAGGCTTGAATGCAACACACACAAATTCATTGTTGAGATTGCTGCACAAGAGACTAAATCTTAGAGACTAAATCTAAAATTTGAGAAAAACACATTTTAGGCCCCTAAAGTCTCCCATTCCGGACCTTCCAGTTCTTTGCGGTAGTTGGGGTTTGTGTTGCCGGGAAGCTTGGGGTCAAACCGCTGCACATAAGTCCTACTGATCCAGCTCCAGCCCCCATAGCCGGTTACACGATACTCCTCTCCTTTCTGCTTCCACACCTTCAAGCAATACAAGATGAAGTATGAGTCATGGAGGGATACAACAACCTAAGAACGATGAACGTTTCCAACAGAGAAAAGCGAATCAGGAAAAACTAAAAAAACGAGTTTTAAGAGGAGGGCAAAGTTCCAAAGAGCGCTTAAAGCTAAAGGTTACTCACATACTGATCACTAATTGTTGAGGGAAATGACTCATTGCAGAGCTCCACTGGCTGCATCAAAGAGCCCTTGATAGTCACTCACGCACAACATACAGTACACAGCATTGATTCCCACAGCAAAGCCTCAGTTTTCTGCACGGTAAAGTCTAAATCTACAAGTGGACTAGCCTGAAATATATCACCCTCATCCCATGGTTCGTATCGTTTTATGTTGTGTTGGCACAGACCACTAAACTAAATGGCTGGTTAACTTTTCCTTAGATGAGGTAGCACAAAAATCATTCGAAATGAAAAGGGATTTTTGAGATAACCCTGCGCTTGTAAAAGTGTGAAAGGCTGAAGGAAAAAGGAAATATCATCCTAAATACAATACATTTGGATTCATAATAGCAGGAAGTGATGTGTGAGGGTAAGCAGAATAATTATTTTGGTGATCACAGCTGACAGAGGCAGCTCAAATATTGACAGCTCAGTAATTCATATTCTTCTTTTGTTCATTTTACCCCCCTCATTTATTTGAAGGTTTTGCTGAAAAGGGAAAAAATATCATGCATGCAGTCAGCAGTCAGGTGACAGTACAGACCTCTTTGTAACCATTAATGGGTGCAAATACACAGCATTTATGCTTAGTATGTAGTACAAGTAGGTGCAGGAGTGAAGAGGGTGTTCATTGTGTGTCTGAATTGCAAGTCAATATCTTAACAATATTGAAAACCAAGGATTTGTGAGTATCTAAGCGACATACCTGGTGTTTAATGGGAAAGGTGTACTTGACCCATGTGGCCTGCTGCATCGTCTCTTCATCCTCCAGCTTCTTCTCCCTCTTCTTCACCTTCTCCTTCTCCTCACGTTCAATGGATGTCATGCGATTCAACCTGAAATTGTTTTAATTGTCATACAGTGTAGCATGTTGCTCTTACATTGTACAGTCAGTGACTTCTAGCAAGAATAGAAACTTGGCTGTTAAAAGTATTTTTCCAATGTATGTAGCTATAAGATATATCCAAATTAACTTAATCATTTTCATATTCAAAAACAACATTTTAGAAAACGTGTAATTAAAAAAATATGGCAATATCTACATGTGTCTTGCCTTAGGTGTAAGTAAACAACTGGGAAGCTTCTTGAGTAATGTAAGCCCATAATTAAAGCCCTGAAAAAGATGAAAGGTGCTCTTGGAACAGGAAAAGAACATGACACTCACAAATGTTCTCCACGTTTCTGAAAAGCTCACAGTTCAGTCTCAAACACAAGCACACTCTGATCCCAACCTTGTAAATATTGGACAATGTCTTCTTTAAAAAGGGGCGTTGTGGTGTTGAGCAGTAGTAGAGGCAGAGGTGGGTGGCAGTGGAAGCGGACTTGCAGTCTAAATATTATGCCTCACAGCTAGGGTGGGCCTTTTGATCTGATCTGCTTATGATCGCCTCTGCCTGCTAAACTGAACACACACACCCAGTGTACGTCATGAACGCTTGTGAAGTATTGAATGTCTTGCATCTAGACTGAAAACATATGGAGTGACAGCAACCTTATAGGAATCGCTTTCTTAGTTTGTGTTTTATATCACATTGTAAAAGCACATATAATGAAAGTACGTCCACACACATGCACACTGTTAATAAACTATGTGTGTACCTGGTGTGGCCCAGTGAGTCCTTCCAGACAGGCAGCATAGCCACAGGTTTGATGGCACACTCCAGGATGGCCAGGGCCAGCGCAAACTCTCTGGCCTTACTGCACATCTGAACAGCTTTGATCCAGTTGGTCCTATAAAACAAGAAAACAAACACTGAACATTTCGAAATCTCTCTCTTTACTTTTGATTTTTTTTGGCCTATCCCAGTTTTAAGTTGTTTTACTAGTAAGGAAGAAGTGGCATAATTCTGGCCTTTTTCATAACTGACATAATTAAATTGAATTACTGAAAGGCACCAATGCCAACATGACTGACAACTAGTGTTGACTGATAGTGCTGACTCCCATTTGCATTTCAGTGTGGCATTGGAGAATGAACTCAGGTGTTCATGCATCAAATTTGCAATGGCTAAAATGTTATTTGCGGTCGGACAAGGAAGACTTGCATACCCATTTGCCGTTTAGATGAAAAAGCCAATGGCTGGACAAGACTCTTGCATGATGTAAGAGCGCAGTGGGTGCTGGTGTACCGCACTCATGTCTATTATCGGTACATCCATACAGACAACCTAGAGTATCAGAATAGTAATATACAATTTCCATATGACAGTGCCTGACTCTACCTGTGTGAGGCCCAGTTAGGGTGCATGAAGGGTGCTGGAACGTTGTTCTCCAGCTGGATGATGGTGATTCTCAGTGTGGAGATGGTCAGAACCTTGGAGCCATGAATAGACCCGTTCCACTTAAACTCTCCTGCTGGTGTCATGCAGAACTTGTGGGAGAGATGCCGCCTCTTGTCGTGGTCCTGATGAAAAGACAAAAAAATATGTTTTTAGAACCTACCAGCAATTTCATATCATCTTTGTTCGCACACCAATTACTAATCCAAGTGACTTGAATGTCTTGATAAAAGTGGAAGAAACCCTTGCAATCATGTAGCAAAACAAATACCAGAAGGGTCTGGAATCTACTGAGCCACCTTGCAGCTTATTCAATGCTTTTCTCTACTTTCAAACGTCGTGCTGCTTACCTCTCGGTGCTGGTGCTTGTTGAGTGCCACAGTATTGCTACTGTATTGATTATGATAGACACGGTATTTCCCCTCCTGGCCCAGCTTGAAGAATGGACTAAGTGTCCCCTTCATCACCACCTCCTTCCCTCGCGTGCTGACACGGGTGACGTCACCTTGTGCATTTACTACTAGTACCTGAAGAGGTAGGGGGGGGGGGGGACATGAGTCATTCAGATTTATTACAGACTGCCTTATGACAAGTGACATTTAGATTCCACTGTAAAATGTCGCAACCAATTTCTCTGATTAAAAAAAAAAATCCTCATTCAAGTTATTTAAATTACAACCTTGTAAATGAGCTAAGTCACGCTCCTGCTTATCTAAGTTAAAGTCAAACTAAATAATCTTTTAATAGGTCAAAGGTTAGTAAGGGACACAATTAAATAGCCTGAAGATAGTTAGGTTAATCTCCAATTCTCTTCCACTAGGCCATTGCATAATTCTACATACATTGGCATGCTTTTGAGCTGGGTGTTGGACACTATTCTCACCTCTTTGCCCTCCTTGAAGACCTTGTTGGCTTCATGAACAGCAGCAGCCACCTGTTGGCTCTTCATCTGGCTGAGTTTGCTCTCGGGGTTCCTCAGTCGGGTCACCATGCGAGTTGCTGCGGACCCCCTACCGCCGGGACACGGCTCACCGTTAGCGTCCTTACCGTCCCCTGAAAACCCAATACAAAGTTCAGTCCAAGACAGATAAGACTTTAACAGTCTCATACAATAGCACAGTCTATTGGAAAAGCTGTATGATGTGCAATGATCACGGAAGGAATACTCAATTATTAAAAGTCATAAAACTGCCTTTCTCATAAGGTGATCAAATGTTCTGCTTGTCTGTTTTAAGTGCTATTAACTTAATTAAATGTATAATGTGAAAAAAATGGCTTGTGTGAAACTGAGAGATACCCTTTTCTAGCATCATTTTAAGCTTGCAAAGGTGGTTTTTTTAAATCAAGAAGTCAAATTTAGATCAGAATCCCCTTTCACGATAGACACCCTAGCACAGCTGAGTGCCGTTTTCATCAGTATAATATAAATTAGACAACAAAAGAGAAGTAATTATTATATTGTCAAACCTATGTCATCAAGGCTGGCCAGGGAGGACTGGGAGGACTTGTCAGCCAGGTCTGGAGGTTCAGGACATCTTGTAACAGCCCCCATGCTGCCGTTACTGTTCTCCTCACTGGCCTGGGGCGGCTGGCTCAGGCTGGGGATACCATCTCCGCTGCCGGGGACAGAATCTGATGCTGGGTTTTCTGTTCGCAGACAGAAACGATTGAATGTTACCAGTTTTATCTAGATTGTTTTCTTGCTGTTGTTAGTCAGACATCTTTCAGGGTTTGCATAAATGCCTCAGCAAGGTATAGGTGTATACCTGGGAAAAAAATGATTGAACTAGAAAACCAAGACACATAAAGCTGTCGAAAATGACTAATAAAAAAGGTGTTCTGCACAAGTGGTAGCTCGGTCTACATTTTTTAAAAGCATCATTAATGGGAAAGTTCCGAAATAATAAAGGCTGTGGCTCCCTCTACTGATAAGTCATGCGTAATGCAAGCAATGAAAGAGGAATGGGTCAATAAAAAGCAATGGGCAACCGATATAGAAGACTTATGCATAACTGACTACAACACTGAGAACATCAATGCATGGTGAAAACTGAAATAACTGAGGATGTAGATGTATAGCTTATAACTTCAGTGTTTCGACACAAGGCACTACATGAACAGTAATCTGGATAATCAGAGGTTCTAATTACAAGAAAGCATCAGAAGAAAAGCTTTTTATAAGTATAAGTATAGTTAAGTATGGTGAGGGTTGGTTATAGTCACACTGGGTGCAGTGACAATGCTTCTGATTGAAAAAGCAATGGATGCAATCAGCGTCTCAGCTCTTTGGATGAAAGAGAGTATAATGAATAAAGAGTTCAAGTGCAAAACCGCAGAAAGTATTCCAAGGCTGACGCCGGGTATCATGAAGAAAACATTTAGAGAACTGAACACTAACGCCAACAGATGGGTTGAGAGCCACTTGGGGAATAAGGCGCAACAAACTGTCACTGATCTGAGATTTATCACACAATTCAGTGAAGATACAGACAGTTGTAGTAGAGCAGATTCACAAAATGAGTCTAAGGAGGTAAGCTTCTCCCTGAAGTGCCCTTGTATACCTTTGGTGTTGATAAATACCTCCATATTGGAACACCTTTCTATCAGAGGCTCTATGGTTTGGAGGCCATTGCCTTTGGAGCCTCCAAGCCCAGGCTACAGCTCATGGTGGTGGGGGATTGCTTGTGTTGTGCAGGGGCACAAAGAAGTATAGGGCCGTATGTAATGCTACTGCCACTACTGAATTATTCAACAATAGATGAACAGCAGCAATGTTGTAGATTTTGTATCTTATAATGCATTAATAGCATGGAGACAATGGAAAGAAGAAGAGATGGGCAGTGTGGAAATAAAGTCACATTTTAACATCATCCATTGGAGAAAAAATAAAGTTATCTAACTTTGTATACAGTATCACCTTAAAGAAATGCATCTTCTTATATAACCTTTTTTAGGTGAATGCTCTCAAGGCCAATTAGCTAACCAAAGATGTTCAGTGTTTTGCTGCTCGTGCAATAAATACATTTTATTCTGTATAAGTGCCTATTTAATGCACTGAATCATTTGTATTCAGCAAAACATAGATACACATTTCAAATATGTCACTTGTGAGTGTTAAACTTGTCGCAGCAATTTAATTAATTAGGATTCAAATAACAGCATTTATTCTTAAATCAATAAGTAATTACACCACTGTTGAGATGTACTTTTCTCCAAGGCTCAACACAGCGTAGCGTGCCGGTTTAGAGACCCAGAGGAAAAGTGTTTCAGTTAAATGATCACCGATTCTCAAATGCCTTTTTCAGAATGTTTTGTGGAATTCAAAAAGCATAAATACCTCCACCATCCTTTTTCTCTTCCCTGGCCTCTTGTTTTGTTTCCTCCTCCGTCAGCTCTGTGACCTTGCCCTCTTGTTGCCCCTCGTCCCTCAACTTGGCCTCTTCATCTTCATTCTCCACATCCACCTCCATCTTCTCCTTCTCCAGCCGCTCTTTCTGGGCCTCCTCTGCAGCTCGTCTCTTCACCTCCTCCAGCTCCTCCTCCCTCTTAGCCCGCAACCGCTCCAGGATCTCCTCTGGATAAAAGAAGAACAACACGTCAAGTAAACATTTTAAAGACATAAGAAACAAAAGGCTGAGACAATACATAGTCTGTGATTGTCATTATTACACTGATGAAGAACACAAGTTGCGAGTGTTAAAAGCAGTGGTGTAGTGGGGATATATTTTACTGGGTGGACGGGGCGGGTGGACGGGGGGGAGAGACACTATGGACGTGCTCGTGAACTGTCAATGGGGGGGGGGGACTGTGTGTGCCGTTTAAAAAATATAATAATAAGGGGCGGTGCCGGCCGTCAGCGAACCGAGCCGGCCTTTCTGCGCGACTGTCACTCAAATGCGGGACACCTGGTCACCCTACACACACTCACAGTGCTGCCCCTCACACACGCTTCAAATCAAGTTGCATAAATGCTTGAGCTACGTTTTTATTATAATTACTGTGAAATGTATTAAGTTTTCGCCATTATTACAACAAATACACACTTGCAATGATTTTATATTTATTAGACTATTAAAAAAAAAAAATCATGCTTCAAATAAGTGGGGGGACGGCGATCCCCCGCATCCAACGCCCCCACTACACCACTGGTTAAAAGTGTGTCTAAACATCCATGTCCAGATCCAGAATACACACTTTTAGTAGAAGGCTTGAGAGAAAAGCCAGTGATGCTGAATGATGTTGTTTTCAACAGGAAATACTGTGATCTCAAATCACATTAAAAGCCACAATGAAGCAGATTCTAGTTATGGATGGAAAGAAGGAGACAGCATCGGAGTAAATTCAGTGCAAGATTTGAATTTTAAAGAAGAATTTAAACCTAAATTAAAACTAGCAAACAAAGAGGATATGTTTTTGGGGGCCGCATTATACCATGCTTGAACTTGTGTTTATCTTCCAACAGACCTCCTTGTTTGGACTTCACAAATAGAAGCAGCAAGAGACTGTTTATAGGAATGATATTACATGATTTGCATTTCAAATGTTTGGTAAATATACATGCTTGTAGATGTTGATTTCATGACCTGCTGTAAACGTCACAATAAAGTTAGACACAATTGCATTATGCAGTGTTTACAACTGAGCAAAACTGTATTGAAACATCATTAATAGGGACACACTGAGGGATAAGCATGTTGGGTTAATGATACGAAATGGAAGACTGCAAAGTCCTTAACCAGTCGGACTCATATGTAGCAACACCATTAAAGATTGCATTTAAGATGAGCAAATTAAAGCCTACATTTGCATTGTGCAATATCACAAAAAACATAGGACAAATTGAAAAATACTGCTCTTGAAATTAAAATGCACAGGCAAAGAGGAAACACAAATAAATGTCAATGAACTCCAATCTGCAATGCATCACTAAAGCTGACAATAGATATAGTATATAGTGTGTGTGTGAGTGTGTGTGTGTGTGTGTGTGTGTGTGTGTGTGTGTGTGTGTGTGTGTGTGATACAACAGCTTTAAAGTGAAGACTCTGCAGAGTATATTAAACATCTAGGTGTGTGTATCATCATTATCTGTCACTGTTAGGTTTGCCTCGTCTTTTCTTAGTGACAGACAAAACTGGAAACAATTGCTTGTTTATGATATTTCTTCCTTTGTTTCAACATTGCTGGTATACAAAAGAAAAGACAGACAGGGCTAACACATAAAGGTGTATCTCGTAACCAGGATTAACAGTCGCAGGGAGAATAATAATAACAATAGAGAGAATATATCTTGTTGGCCCAAATCCCTCATAACTCTACAAATCTCTATTAGAAACTGAGCCTAAACAGAGCAAACTGATTTTAAAAGACTATCTGCTTACAACCCTTATTACACACACTCACATTTTTCATGTTTAAGGATTCTATTGCAGTCTAATAGATTAGTTGTCAAAACAGCAGCCAAATATGCTAACAAAAGTGGTTCTAAAGCATAAGGGGAAGCACTTATCAGTCATTAAGTGGTTTTTCCACGCACTTTTTTGACAAAAGCTGTATTCATCGGTGGCATTCAGTCTTTGTATGACTGTATAATCTACTTCCTGTGAGTGTAAAGGTTAAAATTGGCTGTAAGTGAGAATATTTTATTTATCTGTGCACAAAAGATGCTTGACAGAAGTGTTGATTTCCAGGTAAAATGTTGCTTCCTAAGTAAACATGTTTTCCCCATTGTCATCAGGACAGCAGAAAGCTTACACATCTTCCGGCGCAGACTGAAAACTCATCTCTTTCGACTCCACTTCGAGCGATAGAAGTACTAACAAAGCACTTATATACTAATAAAGGACTGGCTTACCTAAAGCCAGTTGAGTAGCACTTGAAATGTTTTGGCTCTATGAAACCAGGGGGGTATACTACGAAGCAGGATTTTCACTTAGCCGCTAAATTCAGGGAAAACTCCGGCTTTCCGGTCTTACGAAGCTGGTTCTCTTTTTAGCAGGCTAGATCTCCATGGTAACTTATGCTTAGCGGCTAACCTGGTCGGGACCAGGTTAGGTTGCAGGCTAAGAGATCAACTCAGTGAAAGCACTGCCTGCTGACCAATCAGAGCTCAGTGTGCGGAGTTTAAAGCGATCAAGTCATATTACAGGAGAAAGGAAATACAGAAAAGCTGCCGTCGCAGGAAAGACGGCCGGCAAAAATCACCGACTGTGTGAACGTGAACATTAATAGAATATCACCTCCCATCTTCAGAGCAATCTGACTATTATAACATTAGCGTTAAGAACACTTACCACATATCTACCACAACATAAGTAACCGGATCAGAGTAACATTAAGTAGGCCTACAGTCCGCGGCATATCACTTCATAATGTATCATATATTTTCTTATCTGAGTCAGCTGAGCCGTATCTGGCCGTGCAACACTCAGTGTCACATAGGCCTACTGTATGCAGAAGTATTATTTTAAGCAACACATTAAGTTGACGAAACACTCGAGACAAATGTAATGAAAGTCAGATCGTGTCTTAGACGGGGCAGTGATATCATAAACCTGTTAATGTACGCATTCAAAGACTTTTTCTTTTACCAGCTGTATTCACCTTGCAGGTGCAGCTATGTGGCTTTTATCCTGGATAAAGTGTTTAAGTCATGGATGTTTAAAGTTTAACTTCTTCATTTTTGACTAGTATTAAAGTTGACTTTTCATTCAGGAAGTATGACGCGCTGCGCTGTCAGTACGCTTCTCCATGTTTGTGATTGGTCGAATGCTCCAGATACCATCCCTCTCATGTGAACGCGCACCTAACTAGATAGGACACGGCTGGCTTGAGCGATCCACTTGATAACCAGCGTCGTAGTACAGTTTAGCGAGAGCGCGTATGTTTTGGATTAGGCCAACCGGCTAACTCAAACATATCCAGGTTAGGTTGAACCAGCTTCGTAGTACAGGCCCCTGATGTACTGATATGATTCTGTTTTCTTCAAGTTTGTATCTTCTTCGTCGAATGCACTTATTGTAAGTCGCTTTGGATAAAAGCGTCAGCTAAATGCAATGTAAACACCACATTAGGGTTGGGAACCGAAACTCGGTTCCAGATGAGAAAATGCCGGTTACCGGGTACCCATACAAAATACACAATTTTGGTTCTACTTAACGGTTCCTAAACGCGGTAGACCCTGTATTCCACCGGGTCAGTCTGCGCCGCGGTGACCCGATGGAATAGGGTAAGGGCGGACTGGCCATCTGTGTGTTCTGGAGAATCACAGAAGAGCCGGCCGTCAGCGGGCCGTTGACGGCCGGCACCGCCCGTAATTTTTTTAAACGGTATCATGTAAGTTGCGCGGACAGACGACAGAGGTCCACAGTTGCCCAGCAGCGAGGCACCCCCCGCCCTCCCGCCCGTAGACAGTTCACGAGCTCAGTCACTTCATAACACCAAACGCTCTAAAGTGAGGCTCCACTACAGTAAAAAGAAAAAGACAAGGCACAGACTGTAATGCCTGTTAATAGCTTGCCACAGGCATAGCTCAGTTCAAATAAAGCACAGCTATTGTGCAATACATGTATATTTTTTATTTGGAAAAATGTCAGTTAAAGCTTAAAAGAATAAAGATATTTTTGTTGTCTAAACGTTTGACCTCTTTCTTTTATAATTTTGGAATCGAAGCGGGGAATCAATAACAACCGGAATCGATAAGCAGAACCGGAATCGGAATCGATATATTTCAAACGATACCCATCCCTACACCACATACAGCAGCACTGCCGCTTAATTGTTCTGAAGGTCTACTGCACCACAGACTGAATACTATAAACATGTTGTGCTCATAGACAGAAAAGAAGGGAGGAAGGGAAGCTTGAGTGCTGGACACTGGCCAAAATGGGACGAGAGTAAGGTTACATAATAGCTTGGTTGATTCCTATGGCCCAACCATCTATGACTGGGTGGCATTCATTAGTATAAGAGGGGAAACAGGCAGAGGATTGGGAAGAAGGAGAAAAAAGGATACTTTGGGCCTAAGGAGATCCTTCTTACACTGATACCATAATTAAACTAAGGCACAGAAAGCCTGTAAGCTTTACTGACAATTGTTTTGTTTGTTTCTTTTAACCAAGAAAGAATGAGGAACTCTTTACCATTAGCGACAGTGAGGAAACACTTGTTGCTGCCTCGGGCCTTGTTGGTGAGGTCCTCAGTGATGTCCATGTGAGCGTGCACCTCCTCTCTTATCTCCTCGAGCGCTGCGTTCAGGTCGGCCTCCCAGTACTCTTTATCCAAACCCTCGAAGAGCTCGGCTAGCTGGACCTGGGAAAAACACGGGTAGGGAAGAGTTCAGTAACTGCAATGCAAATTGTCTCAATGCTACAACAGACATACAAAAACTGGGACTTTTTAGATTTGTATTGATCATTTAAAAAATTTTTAAAAAATCTGTACTGTGACACATAAATATAGTAAGTAAGAAATTAAGAAGAGTAACAAGAGTCTTTAAAAACAAAATATTTTAGGCCAAGGAATGATGGCTGAGCTCTATGGGGAGGTGCTGTTGACTTTATGTATTATTTAGTTCATTTCTTGTTTCCTGGGTATGTATGTATATGTGCATGTATGTATGTGTACATGTGTATTATATATCATTTCCTTTATTGTGACTTGGTTCATCATGTTTGTGAACCATGTCTGCGCTGTGCTGGATTGTTGGGAAATGGGGAGGGGGGGGTTAAAAATGTAAAACTTGTATATGTATAAATTCTTTGCACAATTTATAATAAAGATATGTTTAAAATATAAAATAAAATATATATTTTCTTTTTAATTGTATTGGGTGAAGAAGAGAATACACCCCTAGTAAGAGAGACAATGAGTGGTATTTACCTTGGTGCTGTAGTACCAGGTGGACTTGTCCTCCTGCTCGCCATCCTCCTCACTGGAAGGGAGACATAAGAGAAGAAACATGAGGGGAAAGGAATTAGGAGACACAGCAGTGAGGGGTAGATGCCACCCAAAATGAATAATAGCTTTACAGACTGTGGGCTAAATGGGACAAGAAGCATAATCTACTTTACAATCTGTCACTACACATTTACAATCAGGTATAACCAATATAAAGGTTTTGGACAATATTGTGATATTTGCTTCTCCCCATATACTCAGCTTGACTGCAGATTGATTTAAATGTCTGCGCATTTCCCCTGAGAAAAAAAAAATGCTTAAGCTATACATTAATCCGAGGCTACTGTTCATTTGTAATGGCAACAATTTCTCTTTAAAGCGTTCCAGGTAATGGACAATCATTTTGTCCGTCAGATCCATCCATTATGTTTGCTGCTGCGTGACAAATAATCAATAACATAGTGGACCTTACACAGTGCATGTGTTCATTCCTATTTTGATCTCTCTGTGGTGATCCAGCTGTTTTCATGTCATAGAAAAGGAACTACATAACCAAAATAATATGAGCCGGTGTGAACAGCTGAGCCAAACATGCAAGGTGTTGGAATGGGACTGTGACTTCTTCCGTTGTGCTTCCTCATGTCACTTTGCCAGACTCGTCAGTTTGTAAAGTGACAAGGAAGCATATTTTATGTAATGATCAAAAGGATGCAAATATTAGATATATAGTACGGTATTCATATTTTGCAAGTGTACAACATTTGTTTAAGAGATACAATATATGTGCACAAGTCTTGGTAACAATTTATATTTTAAAACGAACATAGCGTTTCCCAGAACAGTCTCTCAGAGCCGGTTCACGTTTGGTTGGAAAATCTCAGAAACGTTGGCTCCCCACAGCGCTGAAGAAAAGTTTGAGTTGATTTTAAAAGTAACTTTAAAACAACGTTTTAATATTCTAAGTAAGCTACAAAAGCGGAAATTATTCTGAGTGTTTCCAATACTTTATACTATTCAAAATAATTGAAGCACTAAGTATTTATAAAATCTGCTCCATCTCCCTGAGTTGTTTATAAAAACATGTGTAGCTGTAGGGTGCCGAGGGACTCATCAGCAGCTGGACTAAGCTTCTACCCCACACAATAAGTAACATTGAGGAGTTTCAGAGCGGCAGCTAGAGAGTGATATTGTAATATTTGAGAGCTTTCAGCTCAGCGAGGCCCGTGTCGAAGAACTGAGAGGAACCTGAGGCTGTGTAACAGTTGTGTCTATTCAGCACTTCAGCAGAGGCACATGTGCGTGCATGCACACACACACCTTAGTTCTGTGCACATCATTCATTGCACGTACATTCAGTCACACAAACATTCCTCTGTGCACACTACTTATATGCACAAACACACACAGCCTCTAAAGGGAAGTGGAGATCAGTAACGCAGCACCTGCTGGGGGCCAATTTAGAGAGCGAGCTAAGTAGAAAAAGAGGAGAACGTGTCAAATGCAACACTTACAGCTGGGGCCACCTACCCTTTTAAATCTTACATTGTTCTGGTGATCCATGCTCTTTTATGGTTTATGTACGGGCCTGCTGCTGCTGACCACACACACAGACCATCTGTGACTGCTCAATACCAAGATCATTTGCTAACGTATGGGACCAATACTGCTGATGGTCAGGTTATGTTAAATCCTATGGACGCATGCAGTTATTTTTGTTTTATGAAACAGCCTCCATGCGGGTCTGTATGAGGCCTTAAGCTTGTGGTATGCCTAAACCTAGCACCTGAGCGCACAATTGTTTTCATCGCTTAAAGTAATACTCTCATCTGCTTCTCAGTGTGGGTCACACATGACCCCTCAGCTGATCTGGCTTGAGCTCAGCTTGGACAGAGCCTGCAATTGAACAGCAGACAATGTCATGTAAAGTTATGAACATTTCTGAGTGTAAGCAATAATGTGTACTATGAACTAAAAAGGTGCAAACTGCAAACATGAATCTTTGTGATGCATTGCCTGTGGTAACATTCTCTCATGAACAGAGGGGGGTCAAATAATTGTTGAACACATGCACAGTAAAGCATGGGTCTTCTATATTAACAATCTTTAGAGAAGTGTCTTCACTGTGCTACATCAGCTGCTGCAGTTCATTACCGTCCCAGATTGTGCAAAAGAGAAATGACTTTATCTCTGTTCTTTACCTGGTGTTGTTTCTAATTAGACATGCAGATGGTTTGTGACATTTACAAACACTTTCTATGACACCAAATGATATGATAACTGTGGTGACTTTGCTTTTGAGCAGATTAGAGCTTGCTTAGTCTTGAAGTTAAATGTTTATAATCGACAACAAAATAAAATCATGGGAATTTGGGTAGATGTGCAAGTTGGTTGTGTGTTTTCAGTGTACTGTAAATAAGCTTTTATTTCTGGAGGGGACCCGTAAAAAGGAAAGAAGTACTCCAAGAGAGTAATGTTTGCATTTTTTTTGAGGAACTATGACTAATATCTTTGTTGTTTATAAATATGCAAGACGGTAACAAGATAAAGTCCCTCCCCCTGACACATGTACTTTTGAAGTCCATGTAAATATCTTGGCAAATAACTAAAACATGGTAGACTTACACAACAATGCGGCGATTGAGGAACCAGTATTTGCGGTTGTGTCGATCGTAGCCGACTGGTAGTTGTCGGATGAAAGGTTTGCTCTTCTGCACTTCTGGGATGCAGTCCGCCACACCGGGCACCTTGTGTGCCACACACACCTCACATTGCCACTCATCCTCAGGCACTTCCAGCAAAGGCGGCTTCACACACTCCAGATGGTAAACGGCTGAACATGTCTCACAGCACAGCAGGTCACCAAGGCGGTGGCATACTCTGCAGTGGTCGTCATAGGCAACCACACCTTCCGACATTAGCTCCTCTCGGGCGATGTTGGTCGCCAAAAACTGGTCCACCAAAAACTGCAGGACTTTGATTTTGCTCTCTAGCGGTTCATACGGGTAATCCTCAGTCTCCTGGAGAGGCAGAATGTGCCGGTACTCCGGGTCGCTCTCACAGTACGCCCGCACCACCTCCGGCCAGGTCATACCATCCACAAAATACAGAGTGGAGTTGACAGAGTCCTTCACGTCGGTGGGACCAAAAGTGGTGTTGGAAGTGTCCTCCTCTCTGAGAATAGCTTTGAGCAGGGAGATGTGCATCTCTGCCAGCAGTGTGCACTGCTCCTGGCTGGCCACCGCTGCACAGAAATCCTCAAAGCGGAAAGGGGAGAGGCGCAGCACAGAGCCAAAGTTGCGGAGGACTTCGTAGACAGCGGACACATTGAGAAGCTGTGAGGTAGGAACCTGGAGGTCCTCAGAGGACTTAGGAAGGTCCAGGGGAGGAATGTCCTTTGCCTCAAAGATGGGAGACTGCGGTTGCAATGCCCGACTCCTCCTCCGGCCTGCAAGAAGTAAAAGGAAAAGAGTTATGGGTGAGAAGAATAATGGCAGAAAATAAAATGAAGAGCTTTGTTGGTTTGCATCAACACAAAATAATTAAACAGGGTAAGTCTGTTAACGATAGGCCAATTCAACTTAACGCTTGAACTTATTAGCATCCATGATGCCCTGTTATAATGCACACTCGGACTGATCTTACACTTGTACAGGAGCATACCAATCAAAAGCTCCAGGCTGTTTCTTTTAAAGCGTGATACAGAAAAGTCAAATTACAAAAAGGTAGACAAGCACCGTCTTCTTCTTTTTTCTACCGTGTAATGGTGCCAATGGGGCAGCTGATGTATCATACCTGATCCTTCCCTCTGGTGTCAGTGTACGTTACACTATTCTGAAAACACTAATAAGAAGTGAGTTTACATTTGTATTTGAGTGGGTATACTGGGGTTCAAGTTTGCTGGTTCATTATACAGCATCAAACACACAGATCTTGTGCAAGAGTGGTATGTGTGCAGGTTTGCATAATAGCATAGAAATGAGTATCTGCCTGTGCATTGCAGTGAAAGCACCAAATTGCCTAAAGACCATTGGGTTTACGAAAGACCCCTCACACTCGGCTGCACAATGCTACCATGTTGACGTCTTTAAAAAAGCAGTTTGAATGGCCAGTGGAAGTTGAGAGGCATGTGATTAATCCCTGAACTACTTAAATGGCATCTAAGCCTGCACAGAGTGTAGTGAAGTGTTAAAGGTTGACAAATCAAGAGATGGAATCTACAGTCAGGTGTTTCCTTCCAAAAAAACATTTAAAGAACATGAAAGAAATGGCAAAGTCTGATGCTACAGAGATAGCAAAATTGTGAGCTTTACTGTAGAATAGATATTGAAATATCCAAAAGTCCCATGTCTGCATGACCCTTTAATATTTCTACTAATCATATATGTACAATTATTTCCATGTGATTGCACACAGCTTTGAAAGCAATGCTTTACATAACACACTTGATGTCAAATGATTTTTGCATACACCACTTTATTAGCAGTATTGTCCATAATTGGGGCCATGGTGGCTCTAATTTGATCACCTGATAAACGAAGCGGTTACCATGGTAACGGTAGACTACTAATAATGTTGGTGTTTGCAACAAGTGAAAAAAAGGCGCCTCTCTTCAAAACAAAGCCCTGTCAAAGACATTAAGCAGCATTATGCAAAAACAACGTGATCTAAAATAGTATTATAAAAAAGGCACAATTCTGTAATAATAATGCATAGATAAAATAAATACCTTCATTTATAAAACCACTATCATTTAGTAATAAACAGTCTAAAGAAAAAAGACAGCTATGAACGGTCAATCCGAGGCCAATAGTTAACTATGTTAAAAATACACGAGTGTTGATCAAGTCTAAATAGTAGAAACTGTATTTATTGTACTGTGCCACTGCCAACACAGGTACAAATGTTAAATTAATGACATGATGGGAAGATAAAATAAAGTCCATACATGACGTTCCCCAATGTGCTCTAAAACACAAAAAATACAGCGCGCATGAAAAGGTCCGGTTAAAAACAAAACACGAATAAATTATTCATAATGAAATGACAACAAAAATGTGCTGATCCTACAAAAAGTCAAAAAGACGAGAGCCGGTTGGAGCGTGGAGCAGATCTGCAAACCAGTGGCAAGAGAGCACACGGTAAACAAAGGCCTGTTTCTGAGTGCAAGCTCCATTTTGAACAATGCGGCTTGCTTTCTTTACTGAGCCATAATATAATAAAATGCACACTCCAAGTAATGCAAATATGCTGTGCTAGAGTGCGTGCACTTGCAAACCCACGTACCTGGGGTGCTACCGAGCGTGCTGTGGCTCTTAAAACTACTCTCCGTACAGTAGCTGGCATCATCCTCATCTGGTAGTTCCTCCAGATAGTCAGACTCGTTTCCCAAGGCCTCCTCTTCTTCAAGATCCGACGAAGGGTTGTCGTTAAGGAGTTCATCGTCGTCTGACCTGTAGCTTATATTATCATCCTCTTCGTCGCTGTTGTCGTCGTAGACCACCTTGGTTTGAGGCCGCCTCACCCCTCCTCTGCTGCCGCGGCCGCCTCTCGACCCCCTGCCTCTGCTTCTGCCTCCTCTGCCCCGCGACGCCGCGGACACCGCCGCTGTGGAGCCTCCAACTTTCCTGCGGCCCCGGGACGAATGAAAGTTCTCTCGGCCGGAGATGTCTGTATCTACCTCCGCAGAGCCAGTCACACAAACGCCAGCAATGCCACCCCGTCCCCGGCCGCGTCCTCTGCCTCTTCCCCGTCCCCGCATCCCTCTACTCCTGCTGCCCCGAGAACCGCGGACTGGCCCGGTTGAACCCTCCCGCATCACGGCTGCTTGTTTGGGCGGCCTTCCTCTTCTCCCCCTCATTGTGGGAGCGAGTCTGTTCTGTTCCGCTTCAATCTCGCTGCTCGGGTGAGCCACGCACAACGGAGAAAAGCGGGGGAGAAAGAAACCAACGGGTCTGGTGACGGTTCCCGATAAGTCTCCACCAAGCCCCGGTCTCAATTTAAGAGCGGAAAGCTCAAACTGAATGGCCGGTGTCCCGCTCTGGGTCGCCTGCAGACGCCATTTTTCTCCTCAGCTCTCCCTCCGTTGAAAACACAGCAGGCCTCAGAGCTGCGTGAAGCTAACCGCGGATACCAGTGGCTGTACCGGAAGTTGAGCGCCATGTCCTTCAAAGTCAAATAACATTGAAAACGAAAAAATACTAATTATGAGTAAATACCGTAGGGTACAGAACAAAGCATACATATCAACCAATATTAAATTAAGTATTTGTGTCAAATGCCATTGGTTATATATAAAAAAGACCAACTCCAAACGCATTTGTTTTAATTACTTAACTGTCACAAATCGGAAAGTCCGTCTTTTCTCTTGTAACTTCACACAAACAGGCTTGAGTGAATGCAAGATCACGTGACTCACTATTCTACAATAGATGCAAATGCCGTCCTAGTTCATAAAATCAGTTATCCATGCACAGGGTTTATGCCAATAGCACGTAATTAGCGTTGACTGGTTCTGGTGGGTGGTTTAGACACATGTGGGTGCAGCGCATACAGTGAAACACAAGCTCTAATTATCCGCCATTTCGCCATCGTCGTCACAGCAAAACAAGGCGAGAAGATATAAGCATCCGACATTGTGCTCGTTTACATGAACCCAAACAAGTCGTTAAAAAGTTAACAGCACACATAGTTTTATGTCAAAATGCATGCAAAAGTGTGAAACAGCTGTGCATATCTTCTTTAAAAAAATGGCATGTTATATAACTTCTTTCGTTTAGTTCAGCCAGTTCATTTAACTGTAATCTAGGAACGATGCTGAGCTCCAGTTGAACACACGCACTGATGATGATCATGATGTATAGCCTACATGTAAAATCGTGAGGAAGTCAACAAGTTTACTGAACATTCTGCTTTATTTTCGATGACAATTTGACTTAAACTGTACACGACCGAAGTTCCTGTAATGCATAACACGTGCAGCCTACTAGCATGATAATTACATAAACCAATATAAGGATGATTCTGGCAAACTATATTAATGCATAGTTCATAATTTTGTCAGATCTAGAGGACTGACATGCTTTATATATGTAGGCTAATCCAGTTGTGTGGTTAAGGCGGTGGATTGATTTACAATGGGGTTTGTTTGACAGCTCAGGTTCAAATCACGATCACATGTTTACACTTTGTTTACTATGATGATAAGTAAATGTTGCAAACTTGTTATTAGCCCTTAAGAAGAGGCGGTTACTATATCTCGTATGATTGGCATAAAAGATACAGTGGGCAAATTGCACATTTATATTGTTAGAATTTATTTTAAAAATAATAGGCTTTCTAATACCGGAAAGATCTGATCTGATAAAAGTGTTGAACTGATGACACGTCCAATTAAATAAAATCCAATTAAGACACCGAATAATTTGTTGAAGTAGATCGATTGAGCTTTGTTGACATATCGCGATACACAGTCGAATAGTATCATCGTCGCCTCTCAGGTGAGCGCTAATTGAGCAGACTGCTCCACCACCCGATACAGTTTTACCCATGAAGCAGCACTTTGCAGAGTGAGTATTATATATTCTCAAGTCTTTTAAGATGTTTACGTTTCAAACTCTAACATATTGGTCTTCTCTTTTATTAAAGTCTACAAAACATGCGAAAGAACAACAGATGAGTTCAATCATTAACCTTCCTTACCTGAATGCTATTTACATGGCAACAAAACCTGATAAATAATGTTGATCATTCTGATGTTCATAGCAAATTAGTTTCAAAATGTCATCTGTTTGAATGTGGTAATGAATATTGCCTTAGATGACAGGTTCTCAAATGGACCGATCAAAGCTCGCCCTAACTAAACTTAATGGGACTGATTGATATTTTTTTCACAACTTTGGGCAGATTTGTTGTTTAGAAATTACCCAAATGACACATAACATTTGTCAAAATAACATTCCTTCCTGTAATTAAACCCCCAAGACCTGTATGTGGACTTTTTGTTTCTGCCTTTTTTAACAGAAGGTGCTGAGTGCAGCTGCCAGGTTGGCTAAGCTGCCCATTTTTGTCAAGCTGTCTGTCTTGTTCACTAAAGGCAGCACCCCAACCTGAAGTCTGTGTGTGTGGTGCTGGAGAGCAGTGTGACTGCTGTGGTTTCACCTGTCATTGTTAAACTGGAGCCTCAGAGTACCGTCCGTACTATCTACTTTATGTACTTATATACTTAATTATATATATTGCTCATATACCTTGAATGAGGTTGTAAGTCATAATGGAAAGGAGACTGACAGTTATCTTCCATTTCAGTTGCAGTAACAATTATCATTTTCGTTGAACAAGTTCTCAATTAGTTAAAGGCTGTTGAATAATTTACTATTGATTGGCTAATAATAGTTTTACATCTAATATACATAAAAGGTTGATGTGGGCTCTACCACAGGGCACTTTTCCACAATATGGGGCCCTAGCAGAATAAATAAGGACAGAATGCTAAAGAAAATATTTGATAATCTTTGATAAATAACTTGACTAAATGAAATCATTAGTAAACACAAAATGGTGTTTAAGTTCAACAGGCCTATTACTACTGACAAGGTAACAAAGGTTGGGGCCAAGATGCAATATTGTCAGGTGTGCTACCTGTGAGTAAAGTTTATAGGGATAGTTCAACATATGAAAAAAAGGAAAATATGATTTTTCACTTTATTACCAAGATTTAAATAAGAGATCTAATATCTCTAATATCAGTCCATTTAATATAAGGCTTGTTCCAGATGAACAGTGGGCATACGGCTTCACAATATATGCAATATATCTGCCTACCAGGCTCACAAAAATTAAAAAGAGGAGATATTTGCAGTAGATGCTTACATTTTGAGTTTTTTTTTTAATGAAATAAAGAGTATATTTTACAATGAGGTACACATTTATTTAAAAAAACAAATGAAGAATTTACTCTTGGTGAACTTCTCACTAAAGGAATATATTGTAGAAAATCACCAGTTACTATTGAACACACTGGGAGATCCCCCAACAATGAATCATTTGCACAGCACAATAATTAAGTATTGAGCTATCAGCATGGTTTGTCAGTTTTATTGGTGGAGTTCTGAAAAATCTATAAAAGTTATCTTAAACATAACATTAATAGCCATTAGGAATTCAATCATTCACACTTTTGCCATTTCAAAATGTGTATAAGACCTTCTGAACCAACTTTTGCTTTAAAAAAAACAACCCGTAATATATGGTTCTGTCATCTTCTCAACAGGTCATGGAGAATTTGTCTTCAGCTGTTTCAGGACCTTCAGACCAAATGTCTGACGTTTGCGTGGAGCATCAGGACGCTGCCTCAGCATCAGCTTTTGTCTGTGTTCGTCTTTACATCCCAGATGTACAACTTAAGCTGCAGTGCCCACCAACCAGATATCAAAAGTCTGACCAGGATAGGACTTTTCTCAATGCCACTGAAACCTCAACTTTTGATATTTGGTTGGTGGGCACTGCAGCTTTCCCCTCAAGTTGAGACTGCACAGCGATTGAGGTCCCTCAGGTCGCATGACTAACAATCGGTGTAATGCTGAAGGATGTCTACGTTGATTTATACTGCTGTTATGCGTTTATCTTTCTAAATATTAAAACAAATTGAACATTATATTAATCCAGCTATTTTGCTTCATTTTGGCAACTGTTCAGGCAGGCACATTCTCAAGTCGAAACAGAGCTTACTGCAGTGACAGTTGATCATAAAGTTTCAATAACACTTGAAGGATTTGTCTGAACCATAGGGCAACATTTCATAGCTTGAGACATCTGGGTGAGTTACAACTGTCTGGCATTTGTTTTAAGTGTTTCACCTGGCTGAGATCATTTCATGAATTAAAGCCTCAAGCCTGTTTGGATCAGCATGGTTGGTTGCACAGAAGTTACTTTGTTCAACAGCATCAGCTTAATCAAAATGTAATGAAATACTCAAATCACTGAAATAAATCCACTTAACAGTTCAGCAGAAAGTGTTTGGGCTTTTAGGAACTCTTTGATAGCAAAACAATATGTACAGGTTTAATCGCCCAACATAGTGCAGTGATTTCCCGCATCACATTTCCCTCTATGGTACCGGGCACTGAAAGGAAAACCAGGAAGGCACATTTTTCAGCAAAACATGACTTTATTTGAGTTTGTGATTTCACTTTTGGCTGGACTCCGACTTGGATGTGGATGCTCTCAGAGAAGAAAGGCGGCGCCTCTTGGCGATCTGTTCCTGGCGCTTCTCCTTGGCCTCCTTTAAAAAAGAAAAAGGGGACAAATTTCAATAAAATGTTTCAACATATCTAAAGAAAAGTAACACTGAAGCAATACTACAGGATCAACCGACATTAAAGATTTTACAATTTAAATGTATTCCCTGTTTACTTCAACTATAATGCTAACAACTGCTAGACATTTTAGTGGTCAAAAAACATTTGTATTAATCTGAAACTACGGGTTCAGTGAGATGAGTAAAAACCCTTACCTTCATCCTCTTGGCCAGCAGCTTGGCGTACTCAGAGGCCTCCTCCTTGTTCTTCGTGGTGCGCTGTCTCTTGAGGGAGATGCGGCGGCGCTTGTGCTGCAGCACACGGGGCGTCACCAGCCTCTGGATCCTGGGAGCCTTAGTCCTGGGCTTCTTGCCTACCAAAGAGAAGGGGTTTGGTTAATGTTGAATGTTAAGAGGTGTCAAGAGGGTTGTGCAATGGCCATCTTTACTCCCACAACTGAAGTGGTTTAATACATAAAAATACAAACTGCCAAGGATACCTGTTCAGACTTTACAAAACCAACTGTATTGTTCTATAGCCCAAAATTAGGGTAAGACGCCTTAACAGTCTGAATAAAGCTTCCCAAGGACCGACACGCTTTTATAAACCATAACACCTTTCTCGGGAACTAAGCAACTTCCCAATTCAGGTAACATTAATATCTCAAAACAACCACTAAAGTGTCAAATCTTAAGATAAACAAGTTGCTCATCTTATGGTTGGTTGGTTTGTAAAACGAAGTTTCACCAGTTGGACTAGATAGAATATTAAAATTGTGCAGACCTTGCACAAGATAATGAACCCTCCCAATAAC